CCGCAAGGCCCGCCCCTCCCGCTGATGCCCACCTGGCCAGGATCAGCTGCAGCACCACCTGCTCCCCCATGCTCGACTCGCCATCAGTCACAAGCACTACGTCCTTCGGGCCGCCGTCCTCGCCCGCGCCGTCGCTCTCTGCGGGCCCCTCTGCTGCGCCGCCGTCACGGATCCTGACCTCGTCCTCCTGCCCGTACCATTTCCGCAGCTTGGGACCGCCGAGCACGAAATCCTCCAGGCCTCGGACGCCGCGCTTCTCCTCGCCCGCCGAAACAATGGTCGCGCGGCGCTGCGAGGTGCGCGCTGCTGCTACTTGTGCGCGGCGCCGGGTGGCGCCGGCGGGCCCGCTGGTTGTTTTCAGGCGCAAGGAGTTCATGCCGATTGCACGTTGCGATGCCAATGGGGTCTCGTCGTGGCTGAATGATGTTGATGCTCGATCTATGACCCTCGCTTGCGCTGGCCGTTGCAAGAAACCTGCCACGGAACACACAGGTTACAACGTAAACGCACTGATGTAGCGACAGCTGCTCACAAAGGGCGATGCAGACTGCAGCACCAACAGCGCAAAACAGCCACACCATGGCCACATGAGCCAGGCAGGCCAGGGTGGCAGACCACGCAGCATGAAGGACGCCATGCAGTCACCAACCCACACACAATCGCGTAAAATATGCTGCAGCTGCAACAGCAAAACTTATGTGCAGCAACACTGCGCTACCCGACCTGCATCGCCTCGACCCCACCTGCACCCGCTGCCGCCTTGCCCAACCCCGCCGCCGCCGCTGCCGCCGCCCGCTCCCGCTCCGCAGCCGCCTGCGCCGCGCGCTTCCTCCCCTGCCGCACCTCCTCCAGCGCCTCCACCTGCTCGTGGCTGAAGAGGCTCTTGCCGATCTGGCCGCGGTCGTAGGGCTGCGCCATGGCGCGCATGAAGTCGCGCGTGACCACCAGCAGCATGTCCGTGCTCAGGTTGAGGTGCGCGTCCTGGGGAGGGGCCCGCGGGCCAGGTGCGAATGGGACCGCCTGAGTGTGAGCAAGCATGCTGTGTGTGCGTACAGAGTGTGCACGAGAGTGCCTTCTCGCGCACCACAAGCAGGCGGGGTTTGGTGGGAGGAGGGACGGTGGCAAGCCGTGCAGTTGTGCCGGGCCTCGCCTTCAGGTGCTGCGTGATCCAGGGCGGCAGCTTGTCGCGCTTGTCGGCGCGCTGGTAGCGCTTGTCAGCCAGCACCATCAGACCGTAGTCCGCCTGTCGGGGGGGCAGGTGGGGATGGTGGCGAGGCTGGGGGTTCAGAGATCGATTTGGGAGTTGACCGGTGCCCCAGTTGTGGATGGAAGCAGGACTCCCTCCCCCACGCCACGGGCCGCACTGCAGCCCGCCAACCGCCCGCCAGCCGCGCCTCCCGTCCACGCCACACATCCCCTCCCTCGGGCCCTCAGGGCGCCGCCGGCACCTTGCTGCGGATGACGCGGCCCATGCACTGCGCCGCCTGCCTCAGGGCGTCGAACGACAGGTAATCAGACTCCTGGATGTTGAAGGTCGCCCTGAGCAAAAAAGGGATGGGCAGCCCCGCTTGGGTCAAGCGCAGGTGGCAAGTGTGCCACTAGTAGGATCGCGCACGGCCCGCGAGGAGCATAGGGTACACAGGCAAAAGCGACGGTGACAAAGGCGGGTTGTTCGTGCCCCCACCCCTCCGTGCCAGCGGCCCCTCGCTCTGCGCCAACGCAGCCCCCAGCCAGGCCCTTGCCCGGGCGTGTGCGCACCGCAGGTACTCCAGCCGCGCACGCAGCACCCTGGAGAGCGTGTACTGGTAGGGCACGCCGATCATGACGACGGCGCGGCCGTAGTGCCGGTCAAAGTCGATGCCCTCCGCCACCTGGGGTACAGGGGTGATGGTGGGGGCGCGCACAATGCGACACGATGAGGATTCTGTGCGTGGCGTTGCAGGGCCGCACGAGCCGCTTTAGCATCGACGGTGGGTACAGCGTGGGCGACGCCAACCCATTCCACTGTGGGCAAGCTGGCAGGAAGGCCGAGGGTGGCACGCATGCGAGATCGTGAACGTGCCGAGAGGCCTGCGAGGTGGCGGGGCCCCCTGTACCCACCTTGCCGCGCGCGACGCTGAAGAAGACCGCGCCCCTGCCGCTGTCGCAGGCCCTGCGGAAGTTGTCCAGGGCCAGGGTCGTCTCCATCACATCCTGGGGTGGACGCCGTGTGGGGTGTGAGCGTGTGTGCGCGTGTGAATGTGTGTGCGTATGTGGGTGTGTGTGCCTGTGTGTGTTTGTGTGAGTGTGTGCGCGCGGGCACGCGTGCGTGCGTGTGTGTCTCCGTGCTCCTACATATGTGTGCCTGGGTGCATGGCAGGGCATGTCAGTGTGGGGTGCACTGGGTTGAGACGATACATGGTTCAGAGTTCCAGGGGTTGCATAGGTTTGCTCGCTTTGCCCCAGACAGTTGCTGGACTTCGATTTACATCAAAATCGTGCCCTCATCCCAAGATGAGACCACCCCCTAGGTCTTACCACATCATATCAACCCCCGTCCCCCCCAAACCCCTTGCCCCAAGGCCCAGCCCCACCACCCCCCGCTACCTGTGTCTCAATGAAGATCAGTTTGTGGGCCATGACCTCACGCAGGATTCCCATGTCGTGCCACCTTTGGGGGGGGAAGGGGGCGGGGGAGAAAACACACCCCATGGCAGGTTGGTGCTGGTCCGGTCAAGCCCAGCTGGTGATAGTGTGTTGGGATGGCGCACCACAGATCAATCACACAGTATGCGTTGCACTGTGCAGCTCAGGGGGCACATTCCCTGTATTCCAGCCCGTGCAACTCGGCGCCCCCCCCCCCTAAGCCCGCCTCACCCCTTCCCCGGACTACTACGGCTGCCGCGACCCGGGCCCCCGGCCACCACCCACTTGCTGATGACGTAATCCATGTAGGAGTACGATACAAAGAAGACCACTAGCCCGTCAGGCACGGAGCCGGCCAGGTCCACCACCAGGCGGCCGTAGTTGCGGACGTTGGCGGGGTCCAGGCGCGACTCGTAACGCGTTGATATGGGGGTCTGGGGGTCCGGGGTTTGGGTGGGGCGTTGTTGTGGGTGGGAGTTGGCGGAGTTGGTGCCGCCTGTTGTGCTTCAGGGGAGGACTGAGCGTCCTTGGATCTGATGATGGTTCCGCGCAGGCCGCTTGCAATCATGGATGAGCAGAAAGAGCAAAGAAGCAGCCGGCGCCTGGCAGTCGCAACCTGGGTCGTGCGGGCCGAAGGGAAGCAGCACAGGGTGGGCCTGGGCGGTGGGGCGCACCTGGTCAGCGCCGCGCGTGACGACGACAGGGCAGACGCAGTCGCGTGCCAGCGTCATGTTGAGGGCCACAGTCGACACCGGGGTGACCCCCAGAATCCTGGACGTGGGGTCATCGGCGATGGTGGTGGTCCCGTTGGGTTGGTTGAAAATAAGGGAACATCGTCTCGAATTGCTAGGCTGGATTGATAGAAAGCTCAGCAACCGACGGACCATGTGGGATGGGTAGTGGCACGCAGGCACAAGCCGGACAGCGGGCGGCCGCTGATCAACGACGCAAATCACCCGCAACCGCGGCAGTCGCTGCCTCCCCCCCCACACATCTGGGGCCCCAACAAGAGGACCGCGGATGATTCCTCACTTGGGGTAAAGGTTCATGGGGCTGAGTGTGCCGCTGGTGATGACCACGCTCTGAAATTTGGAGAACACCGGTCGCATGGCCAGGGACGCATCCAGGCAGCTGGGATTGGAGCAGGTGATGGGATTTGTGTTTGACTGCTTGTTTGTGTGTGTGTGTGTGTGTGTGTGTGTGTGTGTGCGTGCATGCGTGCGTGCGCGCGCGCGCGCGTGTGTGTGTGTGTGTGTGTGTGCCCGCAGGCATGCGCACGCGCGCATTTTTGCAAAGCGGTGGTGGCAGGAGAGAGGGAGTGGGCGTGGCATCGACGCGCCCAGACGCGTGATGAGGGAGCATGCACTCCTGTAGCTCAGCGATGGCGGCGGGCGCGCCGCCTGGCGGTTGCGCCCACCTGAGCTGCAGCACGGGGTCGGGTATGTGTGGCAGGCGCTCATCATAGGGCTCCATGATGATGGAGAACCCCTGGTCAAGCGCAGGCATGTGGAATGGGGGGGTTGGGGGATGAGGGACGGGTCGGGGTGGGGGGTATGGTGGGGACGGGGTGAAGAAGCAGACCAGTGGTGCTGAGACGGCGGGGTGCTGGTGTGGGTGGAAGAGCGGCGCCACCCCTGCCATGTGGATGCTGGCGCCACCTGCCTCTGGGCCCCTGCACTCCCCCCCTGCCACCGTCCCGTCCCTGGGCACTGCCCCCTGCTTTCGTCTTCTCCACATATTCTTGGCGTGCCTACCGTTGTCGCAGCCCCGCAGGCGCACCTGTTGGTACGTGCCCAGCAGCGTCCCGAAATCTGCCACCAGCTGCAGGGGTGTCAGCTCGTCGGTGTCTGTGACCTCTAGCGTCTTCAGCAGGCTGCTCAGGCGGTCGTAGCAAAACCTGCGGTGTGGGTCGGTGGGGCGGAGGGTCGGGAGCCCGGGGGTCAAGAGGGCGGATATACAATTGAGACGCGAGTTGCACGGATGATGTGCGTGTGGGTGGGACGACGCACACAAAGGACGCAGTCCCAACACGTGGTCGAGAGGGGCACCAAGACAACATGACACGCGACTGACCACAAGTGCAACTGTACGTTGCATACACACACACAATAACACACAGTCGCGTGCACACAGACTCATACACACATACACACACACACTCTCTCTCTCTGTCTCTCTCTCTCTTGCACCCCCCAGCATCCCCCACGAATACAGCACGTGCGTGGCCGCACAGCACAGCACAGCATAGCACCGTACCCTCCCTCCCCCACCTGAGAGTCTTGGCGTCCACCCTCACGGCCTCCTGCACCTTGGCCAGAAAGGACGCGGGCCCCTCACTCGTCACGTGGGGCGTCCGCATGACGTCAGCCAGGTGCGCCACGAACCGCCGCATGAAGCCCAGGAAGTGCTCGGCGCGCCGGATGTTGCCTTGCGAGCGGCGCGGGCGGCAAGGGTCGGGCGACCGTCAGGGGCCACGCAGACACAACGCTTGAGGGGGGCCCAAACGAGCTGCACCTGCCTGTTTGCGTTCGCCAGTGGCCCTGCAGGCCCCAAACCAAGAAGAAGTTGGCAGGTTTCTACCCCTCTCCAGGTCCTCACTGAGCGACCGCATTTCCCAGCCTCGCATGGCTTGGTCACCAGCACCCCCACCCCCACTCTCCCTCTTGGGCCCCACCCGGCATGCTGTCGCGCACGACGTCCTCCGGCAGCGCCGGGTTGGCCAGCCACTCCTCGCCGCCACGCAGCTGCCCCGACGTGACAAGGCCCTGGAGGGGAGGGGCCGGAGGTGGGGCGCTGTTTGCGCGGTGCATCGGGGGAAAGTAGCCCGAGGGGTAGGGAGGCCGCGGCGGCTTGATGGCACAAGAACAGGCCCTGAACGAGGGCATATCCCCTCCCCCTCCCTGGTGCAGACGGAGGGGGGGTGACGTGGGCTGTCTTGCTGACATACCTTTTCACGGCACCCCTCATCCGCCCTCGCCCCAAGAGCCCCCTGTCCTCATCCCCATCTATTCCCTCGCTCACACCTGGAACACCTGCCGTCACCCCACCCTCTCGGCCCCCAAGGCGCCCCCACCTGCACCAGCCTCTGGTATTCGGCGTCGAGCTTGGCCTTGTTGGCACGCTGGGCGTCACGCACAGCCTTTCAGGAGGTGGATGAGCGGAGTGGAGGCCACAAAAATTGCATGAGTGACAGCCCCAGGCGCCGGGACTACATCGGCAAGGCGACCAACTGCCCCTATATGGTATATTGGGCATGACCCCGAACAGCCTCCGCTCGCCAATGGCCTGTGCTCCTCAACATCCCCTGGCTCAATCGTTGCTCCGCCTCGACGGAGCACCGCTGTGCTCACGGTCTCCAGCTTCGTGATGTTGCCGCGCGCCGCCCTGAGCGTCTGCTGCCTCAGGTTCACTGACAGCGCCTCGATGCAGACGTTGTCGATGTTGTGGGCCTCGTCAAACACCACGATGCACTCCTTCTCGAGCTCGCGCGACACCATCTTGATTGTGTAGAGGTTGGTTGCATGGCGGGTGGGGGGGTGGAAACGAGGTAGAACGGGCAAGCAACGGGGAGGGTGTATTTGAAGGTGAGGGTGCGCAAATTTGTAGTGCTGGTGAGGCGTCGAGCGGTTGTTTGGTGGGCAACGACAGGTGCGGCTGCTGGCTGCAGCAGCGGCTTCTAACGTGGAGCGGCCAGCCGCCCCGGAGCACATTTGCACAACCCCACCCTCGCCGTCATCCAGTCTCGCTTGGCCCCTGAGCCTCCCGCGTTCCTCACACGCCAGCCCACCCGTCACACCTGTGAGACCTTGGGGTCCAGCATGTACTGGTAGTTGTAGACGATGACGTTGCTGAACGCCATCATGTGGCGCGCCAGGAAGTAGGGGCACCACCCCTTCTTGCGGCCGAAAGCCCGCAGGTCGTGCAGCGTGTACACGCCTTGTGTGTGCAAAGCAATAACGCGCGTGCGTGTGTGTGTGTTGGCAAGCTCAAAGGGAACGGTCGAGGGCCGTGCGGGCAGGATGGTCAACTAATGACGCCTCAGAGCCTGCGCCTTCTTGAACGAACGTCGTGTTGTAGCTGATCTCGGCCCAGACCTGATGCTGGCCTGCCTTGAAGCACACTTGTGAGCACACTTCCTCTCCTTGCCCGCCCCACCCCACCCCACCACCACCCAACCTCCCTTGCTCCCACGACACGCCGCCCTGCGCCCTAGAGCGTACCCGGCACCCACCTGGTGGCAGCAGCGCATCCTGCCCAGCGGCCTGGTGCTGCTCGAAAAAGTCGCATAGCTCGATGCTGGAGTCGCGCGCAGCCCGCTCCCGCGCCCAGGCTGCGGTCAGCCGCCGGCAGCCGGCGTCGACGCTCTCGCGCGAGCCCTCCTCTGAGGCGCAGATGGGGCGCACGTAATCGTATTTGCGCACAGTTTTGGATGTGCGCAATGTATGTTGATGCTTGTGCAGTTGTGTTTTTGTGCTTTTGCTTGTGTGTGTGTGTGTGTGTGTGTGCGTTGTACTTAGGGTCTGCGTAACTGTGTGGACTAAGATGTGCTTGCCCGAGGTACCAGGCTTGCACTCAGCACCAAAGGATGATGTTTGAAAGCCATGCCCAGGGCTTGCAGGGCATGGACAGGCGTGGTCCAACAAGCAGTGGCGGGGCAAGTTGCCGTTGGCTTGGCGGCCACTGCCGTGCCGCTTGAGGCCGCTAACGTCTTATGTGATTTGATGCTGGCATCGAGATTCGCGCGCGCACCTGCCACAACGGGGTGTATGCAGAGGTTCTTGCGCGAGCTGAGGCCCAGCGCCAGGATAGAGGGCGGGCTGGGCTCGAGGTACCTGTCAGGCGGCAGAGGCGGTGCGGGAGGGGAGGATACGTGGTTGGCAACCTTCTTGCTCACGCTGGTACAAGCGTGGGTCAAACTGCCAGCGACTGCTTGCTCAGCCACGCCCGCTGATGGTTAGGGGCGATGCTGCTGGGGCCTGCACGGGTTGCGTCCCCGACAACTTTCCATGGTATGGCCTCTGTACTGTGCCCTGCATTTCCGCAGGCTCACATTCCCTGCTACAGCCCCTTCCTCAAAACTCTTACTTGTTCCTGTAGGCCACGAGCTCCCTCAGCTCAGCCAGCACCTTCTCCATCTCAGGCACTGTGCGGGTGCAGTACACCAGCTTGCCCACCTTGCAAAGGACAAGGAGCGGAGATTTGCGAAAAGGTCGAGGGTGCGCACGGAGGCATGCCTGTATGCACATGTTTCGCGTGCGAATGCCAACAAGGTCTCTGGCGCTGACGGGCTCCTCCGCCTGCCGTTTTGCGGGCGGCCGGCCGCAGCAAAAAACTCTGCATACACAGAGCAGATTCAATGCAAAACAACGCCCCGTTTCTTCTTCGCTACCTGACCCCTATTTCAGAACACGTTAACTAATCACAAAACACCGACGCCGTTGCCCTGCTGCCACACCTCTGGGTGGGCCAGCTGGTAGCTGGTGATGAGGGACAGCAGGGTGATGGTCTTGCCAGTACCCGTGGGCATCTGATGCATGCCCCGGCAATAATGAATGAAGAGTGATGGTGCCAAAGATTGGGGCATATCTGAAGTTGCATAGCAGATTGCGCCGAGGCAAGCAGCTGCTACTGTTGCTGCGGCAGCCCCAGCAGCGGCGGCGGCAGAGCTGGCAGCAAGCAGCAGCAGCAGCAGCAGCAGCAGCAGCAGCAGCAGCAGCAGCAGCAGCAGCAGCAGCGGCAGCAGCAGCAGCATCAGCAGCAGCAGCAGCAGCAGCAGCATCAGCAGCAGTAAAATCATCAGCTTCTGCACAGCAAACCCCCGGCTCACACTACAGCGCGACCCGCTACCACCGTCGCCGCCATGCTGTAACAATCCTAATCCAGGGCAAGCGCACCTCCAGCAGCACATGGCCCCGGGCGTCAAGCGCCGCCTTCAGCTCCGCCATATAGTTGTATTGCTCAGGATATATGAACTCATAGGGGAAGTACACCGTCAAGCCGTCCAGTTGAAACTTCATGGCTGCACACGCCTGGGGCGCAGCGCGCCCCGCACAATCGCTGTGCTGCGCAAACTGCGAGTACGCCCAGTGCCGCGGTTGACAGACTATGCGCCTATCGGGTTTGCTCTGCTATCAGGAATCGCTGGTAGAGCCCCGAGATCTGCATCCGCGATCTGCGCATCGCATCCGTATGAGTGCGTCAATAACGCGTGATGAGTGTCTACCAGTAGTATCCCCATTCGCACGTTTGTAGCTAAATCTATGGCGCAGTGGCTTTGTACCTGCTTTGTACTACCTGCCACACCACGCTGCGCGTGCTGCGCCAGTCCTTTGGTTTTGCAAGTTTGCACAGAGCTGTGCCAGGCATGGTCTTATCTGAAACTTGCAACCAACCACCTATGTTTGGGGTGCTCACTATACGCATCTTCAGCAGCACACATACCGCTTGTACTCAGGCAAGAACCAGGTTCAGCTCACCCGAGCCAACGTAGAAGCATCACTCGAGCGAACGTCACCAGGCGCGACCGCCCCATACATTTACACGGGGTGCTTGCATGGCAAGTGTCAACACCACCATATACAAGGTGATGGATCTGAGTAGGGCGCTGGGTGCCGCAAGATCACAGGAGATGCAACAGGCGACATCAACGACACTGGAGTTGGATGAAAAATGTGCAAAAATGTATTTGTATGAGTCGACATACCATCCTACATATTCACGAAACTTGCTGCCCTACGCCTCTCCGCACGCCGCGGCCCCCACGCCCTCCCCTTCTGCCGCCCTGAGCCCCCCGACCCCGCTGCGCATCTCCCCTGCCCCTGCCTGGGCCGCCTCTTGCCCCCGCCGCCTGCTCTCCGCCTGCCGCGCCACTAGGCAGCGCTGGCAAAGCATCCTGCACAACCACAACAGGGCGCCCCGTCATAAGACGGTCTTGCGCCGCAAACCAGCCCTCAGCCAGATGCATTGCCCGCCTATCCCGCTCCTCTCGAAGCGCCAGCGCCAGCGCCGCGCCGCGTGACACCGCCGGCGGCGGCCCCGCCTCGGCGTCAGGCGCGTCCGCCCCATCGGCACGGCCCGACAGCGCAGGGGCAGCAAACCCGGCAGCCGCCAGGTCTGCTGCGTGTAGGCCAAGGGGTTCCGCTTCCAGCATGCCGTGCCCATTTCTTGGCGGCTGCTGCTGCTGCTGCTGCTGCTGCTGCTGCTGCTGTTGCTGCTGCTGCACTCGCGCATGCTGCTGCCCCAAGCGGCCATCTGGCTGCGGCGCGGGCACGCCACCACCGTTGGAGGGGCCCCTGCCCTTGCCGTAAAGCTGCGCTGCAAGCCCTGTTAGCACTCTTGTCCCCTCCGTCGTCTCCTCCAGCCGCCGCCTCTGCCCTGCCTCGCCCCCTTCCCGGCCGTCGGGCTCCCCTTCACCCCCGATTGCGCCTCCATGGCGCCGCTTGCGTCGGTGGCGTCCGCGCAGCTTGCCTTGCGGCCGCAGCGCGCCCAGCAAGGCCGCAGCCTCTGCCACGGCTACCTGCTGCAGCGACGTGCCAAAGCAGGACTCGAACAGCTCGGCTGGGGCAGCCTCACCAGGCCCGAGCCTGAATTGCTGCCCCTCCGCTGCTTCCATGTTATCCTGCTGTTCGTCATGCATCCCGCCTTGTTGGCCCTCCAGGTGCTGCTCCCTGCCATGCTGCTGCTGCTGCTGCTGCTGCCCGTCACCAAGTGTGTCGTCAGCATCGGCTTGGGCGGGGTCCGTGCCCGCACGCCGCGCCTGCAACCGCTCCGCCCAGCCCGCCGCCGCGCCGTCCGCCCTCACTGCCCAGCTTGGGAGTGTCAGGCCAACCCCCGAGGGCGCTGTCACTGCCGGCTCTGTTGGCGCTCCAGGGCCCATTGCGGCCTGTGTTGCTGGGCCCGCAGCCTCCGGTCCGCCGCCCGTCCTGCTACCTCGAACACCCAGGGGCCCAAACACCACTGCCCTCGCCTCCGAGTAATCGTCGCAGAGCGCCTGCAGCCTTCGGAAGTTGGCCAGGCCCTTGAGAGCGGCCTTGATGTGGAACAGGGCCTCGCGCTGCACCTCCTGTGACACCGCCCACATCGGCACGCCGCCATCCCCATCGCCGCCGTGGCGCCCTGACATGCGGGACACTTCTGCCCGCCGCAGCGCCAGCCGCGGCAGCGAGCGCCGCGCCGCGCCGGCGACGAGCGCCGCGCCGCGCAGCAGCGTGCGGAGCACGAGGGCAGCGTCAGCAGCGCCCGCGGCCACCAAGCCGCTGGCGCGCGCGGACAGAAGGCGAAGCAGGGGCAGCGGCACGTATGCGGCAGCAGGGGGTGCGCAGTGCTGCGTGTGGTAGAGGCAATGCAAGCAGTACAGGACACCGGCCGTGGTGACGGCGTCCTCATACAGCCTGGCCGCATCAGCGGCGGCGTTGAACGTGCCCTTGTCGAGGGCGCGCTGCTCGTCGTCCCCTGCTGCACCCGCCACGACAAGCCACCCCTCCTGCACCTCTTGCCGCTGCTCCGAGGGCTCAACCGCCTCGATCACGCCGCCGTTTTGCTGGATAGTGGCACCCCCCTCGTCTGCTGGCAGGAACTCGTGATGCTGCTCCTGTGGCACTGCAAGCTGTCCTTCCTCCTGCTCTGCCGGTGACACCAGCACGTGCTGCTGCTGCTGCTGCTGCTGCTGCTGCTGCTGCTGCTGCTGTTCCTGCTGCTGTTTCTGCTGCTGTTCCTGCTGCTGTTCCTGCTGCTGTTCCTGCTGCTGTTCCTGCTGCTGTTCCTGCTGCTGCTGCTGCTGCTGCTGCTGCTCGTCAACTTCCACCTCCAGCGGTGCCGCCCCCTCGTCTCCGCTGAGCCGCTGGTCCCACGTATCCAATTCATCCAACGCCAGGTACAGAGCCAACTCGTGATCCTGCAGCCCCTCATGCCGTGCCTCCGGCACCACCGCGCAGTGCACAGAGCACCCTGGCAGCCCTGCCGCGCCCTCATGTCCGGCAGCCACGCCGCCGTCCGGGGAGGGATGTGCGTCTGCAATATCGGGGGGTTCACCCAACATCTGCAGGAGCTCGTCCAAATAGGTGCCTCCGCCCCCGCTGCTGCCATTATGCCCAGTAGCAGCGTCCCGCACTGCGGCCTCTCCTAGTGCGTGCGGCCCCAGCCGCGGCACGAGACCAGAGCCTGCCTGCCATGGCACCTGCAAACTTGTGCCGGCCAAATTTTGCCGCGCGGAGCCATTGCTGAGCGGCGCAGGTGGTGCACCGTCGTCACCGCCATCCTGATTTGATCCACCTCGCTGTTGCTTCTGCTGCTGCTGCTGCCGTTGCTCCTCCTGCTGCTGCTCCTCCTCCTCCTGCTGCTGCTGCCGTTGCTGCTGCTGTTCGCCCCCCTCTTGTGGCGGAGGCATCAGTGCGAGCAGCGGCTCGCCTGCACTGCCATCGACCGCGGCTAACACAGGGCGGGGCAACGGGCTCGAGTGGTGAAGGCGGTCCAGAACCGTTGCAAACAGCAGCTGAACATAATCAGGGCTGCACTCACAGCCAGGGTAGGCCTAAGAGTGGAGAAGAGCGGGAATGAGGGTCTAAGGTGGGCGTTGCCAAGAACGTGCAACGCGCGACAGCGCAAGCACATCTGGAGCGCAAATGCAGCGCGGCGCGCCGCGCTCTGCATCAGGTTCGCATGGCCCCCACCTGGTGAATGAATGACGCATGTCTGTTTGTCCAGAGCGTCCTGAACGTGTCCAACGTTGCCGGGAGCCCGCCGTCCACGACCTGGCGCGATTTCGATGTGATCACATGATCTGGCCGCAAAACGGAGTGCTGGACGGTGGTTCCATGTTGCTCACCTGAACTATAAAATCGTCCAGCAGCTCATGCAGGTCCCGCTCGAAGCCCCACAACTGCACCTCCTCCGCCATTTCTACATGGCAACCAGGCCACCACAGGCCCAAAGCGAGATAGCACCAATCCCAGTTGACGGTTGCTGACGAGAACCTGCATACTCGTGGTGAAGAACAGGCGCGGGAACACCACAGCACCTATTGCCATACGGCACTGCAATTGGGCACACCTGCCACACCAGCTTCCCAATCATACAGCGAGACACAGCGGCTTCAGCCTGATGCAGTTTGCATGCATGTCTAAGTTGCACGTACTTTTCAGAAAGAACGCTGGCCGGTTCATAAGCAAGCCCAGAACAGAGGCTTGACCACTCGCGGACAGGGCTGATTGCAGGCAGGAGGGCTCTTAACAAAACAAGGATAGTATCTGGCACGGCGTGCTCGTGAGTGCTGGGATGCCGTCCGGAGTGGCCACCGGATCAGGGCACGTTGACCCGCCGGGCAGCGATCAATCAGCCAGCTGCGGGTTTGGGGATTTTTCGAGAGAAGAACACACTGTATCACATCATCAGTGCAACGGCGCTGCCGCAATGCCACCAACGCGTCCCACACGCCTGCATCGCACCCCTGAACCCGATGCGCGCCGTTCCGCGCACGCAGGGGTCGGCAACCGACAGGAGGCGAACTCAAGGCACAGAGACGAGAGTGGAACCGAAAAACGCAGCACAATTAGCAGCGATGGACGCGCTGACGCCGCGCTCGCGCCAGGCGGCGCTGGAGGCCGGCTTGGCCGACCAGGAGGCGCCCCGGTCAGCTCGGGCCGAGGAGGAGGCGGCCACCGCGGCAATGCGTAAGGAGGTGCTGCTCGCGGCGGCGCGCCCCTCATCGCGCTGCGCCTCGCCCTCGGCCTTTGGCGCTGCGGGTGTGCAGGGCATCAATCTCAAGCAGATGGCCGCACGCGCCGCGTCGCCGCCGCCGCCTTTGCGCGGCAGCCGCCCTGGCACGCCCCGCGGCGGTGCCCCCGCCGCAAGGGAGGGCGCCGGGCTCAGCCACAGGTCACCTCGGCAGGACGACCAGACGCCGCGCCGTATGGCGTCGCCCGCCCTCGCGCCGGCGGCCCTCGGCAGGGCCAGCGGCGCACACGACGATGGTGGCGCTTCTGAGGATGAGCGCTCAGACAGCGGCGAGCCCGGGGCTGCGGGGCAGCCTGCTGCGGCGCCCGTGGCGCCGATCGCGCGTGCTCAGCCGGTGCTGCAGATTGACGCCCCGCCCGAGGGCCCCGCTTCGCCGGCCGCGCCGGCCGCGCGCGAGTCTGGGGAAGGCGAGGCCGCGGCCGCGATGGCGACCGCCTCGAGCCTCGGCTTCTGGCGCACGCGCAGCAGCGGGCTGGCGCCGACCCTGAGCCTGACGGGCGCGCCGATCAACCCGCGGCGCATAACGGGGCCTGGCGGGCTCACGGCCGCCGAGATTCTGCTTATGGACGCGCGCCGCCCATCACGGGCCGACGACGACGAGCTCATGTGGGCGCACGGCGGCGGACATGGCGCGCTGGCGGCGACCTCGGTGGACCCAATAACGGAGGAGGCGGCGGTGGCCGGGATCTTCGGCGGTGACGTTGCCCCGGTGTGTGCGGCGGCTGGTTGACTGTGGTGCATGGGGGGTGGGGGCAAGGCCGCACCAGCTGGAAGGTGCTGCTGCAATGGATGACAGACCCCTCCGTCATAGGTCATAATTACTCTGCAAAATCTGAAAAAATGCATTACTTGTGCCCACAATCCACTGCAACTCCCCTCAGGAGGCGGCCACGCACCCGCCCGCAGCCGTCGCGCACCCGCCCGAGGTTGCGGCGCAGCCACGCGTGACAATTGCAGCGCGCATCAAGCGATACGCGCAGCCAGCTGTCATTGTGGCACTGTCGGTTGCGCTGATCGTGACGATGGTCTTCACGTTTGCACCGTGAGCATGTTGTGAGGCGGAGTGAGAGCGACTGGTTCGGAGAGGTTGGTGAAGACGTCCACTGCCAGTTCGTTGCTAGGCAGAGGTGCTCACCTAGCCCTTGTCATCCTGTGCTGATGCACGCGCACGCCCCTGGTATCTCCTGTGTCTGCAGGGCGCTCGCCGCGCTGACTGGAGGCGCAGCCGTGGCCGCACCCACCGCTGCCGCTGTGGCAGGCGGGTCTGCGACCGCGGCCGCAGCGGCAACAGGCACTGCGGCAGCGCTGGCCAGTGGTTTTGCTGTGGCGCCGCTGGTGGCGGATGTCATTGGATTTGTGGGAGCACAGAACCCGGCATGGCTGCAGCCCGGCCTAGACCCCAGCAAGCTGTCTTCGGGGCCGCCCACTGCGGCGCAGTGCGCCTACTTGGCAGCGATGCCGGCTGTGCAGGTGGGACACGCGTTTTGCATTCAGCAGTTCTCTTGTGCACCATGAAAGCTTGTGGCGACAGTTATGACAATGGGGCGGGGCAGCTGTCGTGTGCCACAGCGTCATGCAGGCTAGTGATGCCGAGCGCCCTCCCCTGCACCCCGGCTTGCGCAGTACCTGTGCACGGGCACTGTGACCGGCGGCGTCAAGTTCAGCTGAGAGAAGCGTGCAGCGTGTTACAAGGGACCCTGTCACCTGGAGCTGTGGGTGGTGGAGGCCCTGAACTGTATCGGCCACTGGCAACGCTCAGGTTTGCCGGCCGCGTGGAAAGACTTGCTGCTTCGTGCATGATCCAGGATCATTGATTTCAAGCCTATGCATGGACCTTTGCTGCTTCTGGTTGACTCGGTGACGTACGCCTGCTGGCACCCCGATTGTGTTCAATTATTGCAACCTTACGTGCATGCACCAGCATCGCAGCAGGTGACTGCCTGGCAAGGCCTGTAGGCGCATGTGCGGCTGATGATTGCACAAATAGCCATTGTGCATGTTGGCAAGTTAATCATCAAGCAGTTGCTTGTAAGCGGCGCAGGATATAGCACATCGATACACACATGGCGACAATTAGAGGCTCAAATGTTGTCCCGTAGAATGACATTGTACATGGCGGCCCCTGCATAGCCTGCAAAATTGTCAGATGGCGAGCCGCAGGACTGTACGGTAGTCCAGCACAGTTTCTGGTTGCCACCCAGCATCGCTCTGTTGTGCTGCATGCCGCAAGGAGCCGGGTGTACAAGCAAGGCGGGACGGTGGGCTAGGGATGCAAATGAGTGGCTGGTTGCGGAAGTTTTGGGGCCTGGTGGAATGCGTACAGTAGGGCGTCAGGTAGGGGCCATCGCCCCCACGTTGACCGCCGAGCGCTCGTCGGCAGGCAGCCATACCGGTGTCATATTCACATAAAGCTGACGAGCTATAATTCAACATTGCAAGAACGTTGCCAAATCGGACCTGAACTCACGCTGGACGATCGGTGGCAGCCTGCATAAATACGGCTTGATCGTCCTGGCAGGGCGATTTATACATTGAGGTGGTCCGCATCATCTTCAAATCAGCTCGGAGTATTCGTGAGTCAGCCTCGTAGGTGAGTTCAGCTTGCCGCGGGCTGGTGCTCCGCGCTGTGCACCTACGAGCACTGCGTGCAGGCCTATCGACGTCTCCTTCGCTGATGGCGGATCTTTGAGGGTCCTCTTTCTCAACAAGCTGGGCTGAGCCCCGTTGTTTGACCCGATCTGCGTGCCCGCGCTGGCACCGGTCGCAGCAGCGGCCTGTAGCTTGTCTAAGAGGTTTTGTCGCTCAACATAAAAGATACCGGCACCAGCAAGTCGGGCACCGGCGAGCTGGGCGGTGGGAGCAACCTGCACATACGCAGCAGGCCAGGGACCAACACAACAGCAAACCATTAGGCGCTCGCGCCAGGGCTTGCACGAGTAAAAACACGCACTGCCCTGCATGGAAAAAAGCAATACTCCAAGTAGCCTGCTTCAAGCGCGCGCCAGCTCACATACATCCCATCTGTGCTCCATCGTGTGTGCAGGTGTTGACGCACTCATTCAGCCGCCACTGACACAGCAGGTTGCGCCACCATGAGGGACGTGGATCAGCGCGCCAAGGACCCAGAGGCAGACGCATCACCCAGAGACGCGCGCAGCACCGCGGCCAAGCAGGCCAAACGCAGGGGGGCCGCGGCCGCCCCTCGCCAGGACACCGCTGAGGCTAGTGGCGGCGCCGTACCCTGGTTCAGCGGCGCCGGCCTGCGGCGTCGCATCTCGCTCTACAGCGACCACGGTGATCAGGACGCCACCATTGCAGGCGGCAGCACTCAGCGGAGCGCAGCTGATGCCGTCCGCGGCGCAAGCCGCGAAGGGGCCTCCTTGGCCCGGGTTGCGGGCGCAGCCGGCGTGCTCGCGGCGCTGCTCATCGTCGGCGTGCCGCTAGCAATGATGAGCATCAGCGGGGACCAAGCCGCGGTGTTGCTACAGCGCGGCGGCGGCACGAGTGCTAATGAAGCGCGGCACCTGCAGGGCCTTTCGGCGCAGCACAATCGCACCGCCACCTTCACTGCACCACCAGAGGGCCCCTCAGGCTTGTCAGCCGCAATGGCCGCCTGCGCGGGGCGCGCGGGGCCGCTGCCGCCCGTCGTGCTGCCGCCCGTGACTGCGCCTGCGTCGCCCAGCACCGTCGACGGCGACGCCGACCCGCTGCGCGCGTTGAGCATGGACTGCTCCGCGCCTGGCCGGGCCGAGGCGTGCGCGCGCGTCGCTGCGTCGACCAACAGCTACGAGGGCAGCGCAGGGACCGCCACCAAGGAACATCTGGCAGACTACTTGTCCTCTTGGGAGGCGTACGCTGCGGAGGCTGCGGCCACAGGGCGGCAGGTCGACCCTCGCGCGCCCTCCGACCTCGACGTGCTCGCCCTGGACTGCCAGTCCGAGCCTGCGGCCTGCGAGGCCGCTGCCAAGGCCAGCAACAGCTACGAGGGCGGCACGGCCGCCAGCGACAACGCCATCGCAGAGGCGCAGGCATACCTGGACTCTCTTGAGGTGTCCGCCGTCGCCGCCGCCGCGGTCGCCGCCTCCCAGGCGGCTGCGCAAGACGATTCCGCCCCCCTGTCCTCTCTGGCCCTCGACTGCGAGTCCGACCCTGCGGCGTGCGCGGCTGCATCGGCAGGCACCAACAGCTATGACCGTCCCGAGAGTTCGCTGCAGCGCGCCCGCGCGGCGGAGGAGGCCGCCCCCGACCTGCTGGGGCACGCTTCGCTGGCTGTTGACTGCTGGGGGCCCGACGGGGACGGCAACGTGGCGCCTGAGGTCGCCCGCGAGTGTGCGCGCAGCCGTGCAGCCAACGATTACGAGGCACGGCCCCAGCAGCAGGGCCATCACGCTCACAACCACGATCACGACCACGCCGTGGCAGAGCACTTGGAGATCGGCCCCGACGGGCTGCCGGTTGGAGGGGAGACGCAGGGATTTTACTCATGGATTAGCGACGTGGAGGGCGCCAACGATGCCGAGGTCGCCGCGCACGCCGCCAGCTACAGCGCCGGCGCACGCCGCGCCGCAAGCATGGGCTATGACGCGCCAGCTGTCGAGTGGGATCCAGTTGCCGCTGCTTGCGAGCACCAGCAGGCAGTGGCAAACCAGCTTCAGGAGCAGCGGCGTCTGGCTGAGGTTGAGCACCAGGCGCGCCCGACGGTGAGATCAGGGTGTGGGGAAAGGTGGCGCAGGCTGGCCTGCTTCGTGAAGCGTCTGGTTTTGGAGCAGGCTCTGCCGTAATCATACTTCCAGCGCACCCGCCACCACAAGTGACACACTGCTGCAGTGCATCACCCGTACAGCCGCACAGCAGCAGTTGCGTCCCTTATTGGGCCCCTCTGCGCGCCTGCCCCTGCTTCCAGGACCGCGCCTACTTCAAGAACCCCTGCAACGACCCCACCCTGCGGGTTTACTACAAAAATGCGGATAACAGCCCCGAGTATCAAATGGGGCGTGTGTACTACAAGAACCCCGCCAACGCGCCTGACTTCGTTCAAGCGACCCAGGTGCGTGCATCTTATTCGCAGGTGCCGGTGCCGCACTACTGCACATGGACTTCTTCACCTGGAGCTGTCGCATTGCTTGCAGCGGCATGAAGCAGGCTGAGACGCTCCCCCCACCCCTGCCGTGGCGTCCCCTGCAGGCTTCGGTTGCGCCGGCTGTGCCGTCCCTGCCTGCCGCCATCGTGTCGTTCTGGCAGGGCCAGCCGCAGGTCCTCGCGGCCATCGTGATTGGCCTGCTCGGGACCACCACGCTCGCACTGCTCCAGGGCGGCCGCCCCCGCCGCCTCAAGGCCAGCGCCACCGAGCCTGGTGCGGGCGCAGGCATTCAGCACCCAAGAGAGAAGGCTGGCCCTGCAGCAGGTGTTGTTCAAGCCGGCAGGCAGCTAGGCGCTTACTGCATGCTTGTTGTACCAACCCAGGTCGTCCTAACAACCATATCGGCCGCGGGTCACACGTCGCAGGCACCGCGTCTGAGAGTGAGAACCTGCTGGCCCCCGCACCGGCAGCAGACCTGGAGGCTCGCAGCGAGGACTCGCCCCGCAAGGTCACGGCCTTCAGCAAGTCTGGAATCTTCGCCGGCAGCCCCAGCCCACGCAAGGCCGGCGCTGTGCCAAGGCTGCAGGTGGCGGAGGCCGGGGGTGTGGATGTGGTACGGTCGGGGGCGGTTGACAGCCCACGGCGTGAGGGGACGCCGCTCTTTGGCCGATCAGTCACGCCCCTGGGCGGTCGCGCTGCAGCCGGTGCCGGGTCGGCTGCGGAGGATGCCGAATAGCGACGACAGCAGGATGGTGGTTGCTTGCACCCTCTTGGTATGGCTCTTGTGCCTGATGCATCGCTGCCACAACAGGCTTTGCTGGCAGAACAACCCACGGCAGCAGACGCGCCGCAGGTCCTTCCTGTTTGATTTATATTCATTGCGCCCTTGCGCCAGTTGGTGGCATGGCATCACACTCTTGTCAACATATTCCAAGTAGCGAGGTGCGCCAGTGCTCAGAAACTGGACAAGCCCATTCACAAAGGCAAACAGCCGCCTGTGTGTCTTCCTGTAAAGCGAAGTTGGACAGTGTTTCTGGCTGATGAGCTAGCTGATGGATCGCCCTGCACGCCCATGGACAGCACTCAGCTTGTGGCCTAGAGGGCCCGATCCTGCACTTCAAGTTTGTTTGTGTGCAGGACCAGCAACCTGGCGTGTGACTGCAGGACTGGAAGGTAATCTCTTGGTAAAAGTGTTTGCTTGGGTGTCAACAAGTCGCAGGGCTCCCGCGCACAAGCATAGAACCCAACTGCGCCGCGCCGTATGTTGCTGCCGGCGATTCACAGGAAGTAGAGCAATGCAGTCGCGCACACAAAGGCATGGGGCCAATGTCGCAACGGTTCGTTCATGCCGTCACACTGTATACAGTAGCGCATGGCAGGTGGTCGGTTGCCAGCTGCCAATGTTCGCAAGCATGATAAACGAAGCACATTGCGAGGTGTTCGTTTACCGTGCGGCCTCATCAGCCACCCACCGGTAGGCCAAGGACACGCGGCCCTGCTACTCAGGTTACCGCAGCCTGCGTGTGTATCATAGTGCCTGGACTTTCCAGGACGTGTGCTTGCCCACACGATCGCTACCTACCCGTATATTACGCGACAAGATTACGGCAACCTTCTCCAGCTGTCCGGGTCAGCTCCTGGTGATCTGCTGGGTCGTTTGAACAGCCCCGGCACGCACTCGGATTCACTGAAGTGAATAATAGCGCACATCCCATCAGAGAGGTGAGCCGAGGGTGCCGCTCAGAACGACATGACGGGCGGGCCGGCCAGCCCGCCCTTCGCATCTGCGGCGTGGAGGCCCGCGCGTATGCCCAAAGTGAAGCAAACCGCGTTTTGAGATAATCTGAGGCAGCGGGCATCGCAGCATGGCATGGTCACCCGTTGGTGCGCGCCTCCCACAGCAATTGACGTGCCCCGCAACGGTGCGTACGGTACTGTCTCACAACCCCCAACTTGTCGGGCAGGGACCCCTGCAGCCCCTCGACGCTGGTGGAAATGTTGATAACAGATTCACACCGATCAGCTGCGGCGTCCCTGCCGCAGCCGGATTCCCCCTTCCTCGATGTGTTCCAGACACCCCTGGCGGACGCGTCGGATGTCAATGGTGGGGGCGGCTTCTAATGGTGTGCCTTTTATGACGTCCAGCTGCCTCTCCACGCAGCAATTCATGTGAATAACACTATGCATGCTTCATGCGCGCCACCTGGCACATTTTTTTCGCGCGTCCTCTAACAGGGTGTCCTGCGAGCTCACCCCAAGCAGCCAGCTCCACCTGCCCCGCCAGCTCCACCTGCCCCGCTTTCTGCCTCCCATCCGCTTTGACCTCAGGCCCAGCAGACGCTAAGATTGATGGTGTCGTGCTGCAGGCCGATGATTCAGCCTTCGGCCTGGCCGGGCACGCCTACCACCAGCTGCTCGCAGGTAACCCAGCCTCCGACAAGCAGCCGCGCTGGCGGCAGTGGATCGGGACAGCTCAGCTGCCTGCAGCGCCGCATGCCCAGGTGGACGTCCCAGGCGGCGCTCTAACCGCCCGCATGCGCCGTGCGCTGGCCAAGCACCCGTCCATCAAGGCAGCGACTCGAGGACTCCGCGCCGCCCCCAGCGTGCCTCGCCACGAGGCGGGGCTCAAGCAGCAGCCCTCGTGCCCGCCCAACACCTCGACGGGCCAGCACGCGCACAGCGGGCACAGCAGCAGAACTAGCAGCAGCAGCGAGCAGGGGCCGGAGCGGGAGCAGGGGCAGCAGCAGGAGGGGGACCCGGACCTGATGGACCGCATGCTTCGCCTGCGGGCGCCCCGCCAGGCCAAGGACCGCTGCCGAGCCTGGCTGGCGACCCAGCAGCAGCGCTGGCACAAGGGCCGAGCTGCGCGCGGTAGCGCATCTGCCGGTGGCGCTACGCTCACGCTCGTGGTGGAGCGATGCCGCAGTGGGGCCCGCGTCGAGGGCGGCGAGCACAGCAGCGCGGGCTCTACGGATGACTGCGTGCGTGTGTCTATCGGCGAGCCGCCGCTGTTGCCGCCACTGGCCAAGGTGGCGGCAGCTGCAGCTGTGCTTGAGCCGGTGGCACTAAGCGGCACTCGGCGCAGCCACGACGAGTGGCCGGCTGCCAGCGGCATGTTGCGGCGGCCGTCAGCAACGTCCCTCCGCTCAATGTCTGCCGCCGCCTCTGGTGAGCTTGGGTACGGCGCCATGAGTTTTTGAGCGGTTGGGGATTTGGATTTTCTCCCATACCTGCTTGGGCAGTCGCATCGGCCCACCTCTCTCTCTGACGCCATGATATACAGCAATCAAAGTGCAGATTGCTTGCGGTTCCGGCCATGTGTACGCGCGCACAACTGAGCAAGCCACCACCAACATCGTTCGGCTCCATCCTCTGCCCCCATACCCATCCTGCAGACGCCTGGTTTGACGCAGCTAGCTGCTTCGACGGTCAGGAGACTGCCGGCCCCTGCCTACATGACGATGTGGATGCAATTCTGGCAGACCTCCAGCAGCAGCAGCAGCAGCAGCAGCAGCAGCAGCAGCAGCAGCAGCAGCAGCAGGTGTTCCCCGCCCTTGCCGCTGCGCCCTCTGTGCCTGCCCCTCGCCCATGGTTGCCGCCCCAGCCCGCGCTGCGGCCGAATGCCGATGCGCCGCACGTGCCCAGCCCGCCGCTGGGGCTGGCGGACTGTGAGTACGACTTTGTGGCCGTGCCTGAGGTGACAGGTTTTGCTGGCTACTGGGTGAAAGACTTGCAGCGCACCTCGGCGAACCCGCAGCCAATTGATGTGATGCTTGGATCCAGCAAAATGGTCGCCAGGGCGCATGAGACCATCCCTGGCATATGGGTGAGTGCGCAGGTCTAGGGGTTGGATAGGGGACCGCAAAAGGCATGGATGGCGGCGCCTTGTTGATTGTGTCGCACGCCAGCAACTGCGGCTCCTGTGACCACACAGGCTAACGAGCGTGGCGAGGGGTTGGGACATGGCGGTGTCCTGCTGCTCGTACGCTCACTCCCACTCCCCCTGTTCCACCCCCATTGCTGCCCTGGCACCCCTTGAGGATTCCACACCCCCCTCCAAATTGACACACTCACAGTTGCAGGAGGGCCCCGACTTCCTGTCTATGACCGCCAAGCCCCGCAGCCTGCCCCTGGGCCCCTGGGCCCGCTACTCCGAGACCTTTGCCAAGGACGGCTCCACGACCGCCTGGTCGCTGCGGCGCGACATCAAGGTCGGCCGCAGCACCGGGCAGATGTACTTCACGGCCTGCGGGACGCTCATATTCCGCGTGTTTGGCCGCGGCGTGTTCTCGTCGGAGCCGGAGTGGGTCTGCGAGGAGTACAGCCGCCTGGAGGACGGCGGGCGGCGCATCGTGAGCCTGCAGCGCTGCAAGCACTTTCCGAGCGGGCGGGCGGCAGAGCAGTACCTGGTCGGGTCGTACCACGGCCCTGAGCCGCCGCCAGGGCACGCGTGAGGAGACAGACTGATGCACGGCAGGCCCTGATGCACGCCATCTGAGCGACGGGCTTCGGCATGTGTGTTGCTTATTGGCCAGCGTCTGTTGGGCTTCCAGTGATCGCAAACACACAGCGGCACCTCACATACCACGCCGCAGCGGCAGGGAATTCCGCCTTTTGGGCGTCCCTGCATTGCGCGACGCTACAAAGCGTGTGCGACACAGCCCATGCGCACCGCCTGGGCGCACTAGGACGGGCTGAACAGGCACAGCAGTGACCGCGCCTGGCGCCCGGCCTCCGCCTCGGCACTGCTGACCCTTGAGTTTTGAGCGGCGTGGGATCCTGTTGCGTATGTTGCATGCATTTAGTGTGGATTCAAGAGCCGTTTGCCCTGACCTCCTCAGCATACCTTTTCTTGGGGCCCCCAGGTGTGAAGCCTTGCTGCCTTGATTTTACAGGCGGTGCCGAGGCTGACTCGTCACATCCATCCATCCGTTTGATACAACTGCGTGGAGGGCGGAGGTTTTTTTTTCTGATAACGCCATTGCAGCGTACTGGTTGCTCTTGCTAGGCGCGCGTGCACGCGACTATTGAGTGACCCAGCACGGCATGGTGAGCGGCGGGCGTCAGTGCCGGCTGGCAGCGGAATTCGGCACTTTGTGCATGCCACAGGATCTCAAGGCATTGGGGGTCAACACTGCCCTACCCCTTGGATAGCCCTTTGGTGCTGCTGCAAGATGCGAGCATGCTGTCTTGAGCAGCTGGATCCATGGCTTTACGTGCCAACGTGCATATCTGCTGTGGTTGCATCCGCAGTCGCCCGCTGCTGTCGCCTCAGTGGCTGTGTAGCCTGTGGTGCTGTTGCTGCTGGTGTGTCAAACCTCAACCTTGATCTGTCATCAACGATGACGTTCTGCACCGCCACTGGATTACCTGGCTCGAATTTATTTTGCTTGCGCCTTGTGCGCGGCAGAGGCCGTCCATCAGGCAGTCCTCCTCGCGCGGCATTGGGCCGCTGAGCGCAGCGCAGACGCTATTTGATACTCTCATGCCTCGCCTACTGCCTCTCAGCTTTATCAGCGCATTATGCGGAGAACCTGTCAGGTCACCTGCTGTTTTGCAGTTGAGATTTCGTTGGCGCAAGGTGGGCGCTGGCGCGCCCTGTGGCCCGCCTGTTATCCAACACGCCGACCTGTTCCCCAACTGAGCTGCCGTCCAATCCCCTGACCGTGCCTGAAGGAGCTAGGCAGTGTGCTTGCTCAAACCTGTCAACACGCATCGCATAGCTGCGCATTTTCTGCATTCGTTTCTGGGACAACTGATCCTCCTGGTACAGTTGTCTTTGCCCCTTCAGGTTGCACGTGGGGCACGCAGATGTGTAATAATGCACCTCAGGTTGTTTTTGATGAAAAGCGCTATTAAATTCTCAATTAATGCAACTGCAGCACCAGCAACACACAACGGTATCAGCATTTCAGGAGCTGTTGGGTGTCGAGATTGCCTCCACTCGATGCACAATAAACCTTTGACGATGTCCATTCAAATCAGCAAGCCTCAATGAATAATGTCATGGCAGTACAAATGCAGGCAAGCATCGCTGGCATGCTCACGTGCGCCTGCCACTGCTGCCCCTCCCGCCGCCGCTGGTGTTGCTGGTGCTGCTGCCACGCCTCTCCTGCTCCTCCTCCGGGGACGTGTCATCCCAGGCCCCAAACTTTTTGTAGTAATCTGAAAAGTCGATCTGCTTCATGCGGCTGGCTGCTGCTGCCTCCGCGCCCTGGGTCGTGACGGCCCATACGTTGTGCTGGAACAGGTCCTGACAGGGCGAGTGCAGGCCCGGTGGTGGGGGTTGGGGGCTGGATTACTAGGTGGGACAGCCAGGCTTGTAGCAGGTGGCTACGGCTGTGTAGACGCGGTAAGATATTGTATGTGCGTGAAGTGTAGGCGCATCTGATGGCGTAGTGAAGCCAGTACTTGCTGCAGCCAGTGCCTGCCATGCAGTCATGACAAGCGCACTCCTCGTTTTCCTGTGTCCACCTGATGGTGGCCTGCTGCTTCGCAGGCAATCCCTGGCAGGTCTGCCACACCGTGCGCACCCACCTGTGTTGCTATAAACGGTTTCGAGCGCGCAGCCGCAGAGGGCACCCTCAGGGTGGCCCCGTTGGACAGCACGATGGTCATCAAGCGCATTGCAGGCTTGATGCCTGCAGCGCGGCCCATGGTTGCTGCTCTGTCCCCAACTCGCTAGCCTGGCCTGTGAGGAACGTGGTGTGCCTCTTAGATGATTCAACTGGCGTTGCAACAGCTGGGACTTGGAACTGTCTTTGGGTCGGTCGCGGTTTGCGGAGCACGGTGGCGCGTGCAGCAGCAGCACTAATCCGCGTGCCTGGAGCCGACAAGCATGTTGCGATGCAGTAGCGCGATTGCTTCTAGAATTGAGTAACAGGTAAAGCGCGGTTCCACCGGCACGGCGCCAGGCTACGCGCAGGGAGTGTCGTGGTGAGTCGAGCTCGATGATCTGAGGTTGCTTTATGGACAATGATGCCTTAAACAACTGCAAGTGCGGTACCGGTACGGTGTTGTTTGTTGCTGCTGGCCCGTGAAGCTTGGCAGTTGACAGCCGTGCATTACAGTACCGTACGCGTGCCTGCTGTCAAAGTGCCGCACCCCTCAGATCTTCATCTTAAGCCTTGTGGAACTTACACATCCGCGTTGTTTCTGTAGTGCTGTAGCAGCCGTTAGCTGCACAACACCGAGCACGCACTCAGTCAACAACTTGCCCCAGCTGGCGGGTTTAGCAGGGCTTCGTGGTACTGGATCGTAAAAATTATCGCCAGAAAATCATCAGGTGCGCCGCATACCGTGGGAAGGGAGACTGAGTGGCTTGCCAGCGCCCGTGTTCGCCAGCCTGCTGCCCGCGCATCAATGGACAACAGACCAGGGAGTGGGACCGCACCGCTGTTGTGGGCCTGCGCACAGCAGCTGAGACACCATGGAGATTGCAGCGGGCCGCACCACTCTGTACACACCTCATATGCCACCATGCGGACCCCTTCTCTGCCTGCTGCTGCAGGGCTGAGCACCTGCTGCTCAGCTCGCTCGAGCCCGCCTCGTGGCCAGCCTGCCATCAACACGCGGCGGCTGCGCCGTGAGCACGCCACACCCCAAGACCGCCCTGTACTGACACACCGCAAATCCAGCTACGGAAGCGGCTACAGCCAAAGGGAAGCGGGTGTGGATCCTTGCAAAAAGCTGCAGCCGGCAAAAGGTGCAGCAGCCCGCTGCCATGTCGTGCTTTTCCGCAAAGGGCGAGCGCGAGCGCACGGAGCTGCGGGAGATGCTGGAGCTCTCAAACGCACAAAAGGAGGAAGCCCGCAAGGCCGCTGAGGCCGCTGCACGCCGCGGCGACGAGATAGCGCGGCAGCTGGCGGCAAAGCAGCAGGAGGCCGGGGGGCTGTCTGCCCAGCTGCGTGACGCGGGCCTGCGTGAAGCCCGGCTGGCTGCCAGCAATGAGGCGCTCGCAGTACAGGTAGGGATCAAATGAACATGGCTCTGGGGCAGCTGGTGCATGACCCGCGGTGGCATCGTTCCTTGGGGTTCAGCGCTGTGCCTGCAGGACAGGGTTGCAGCCATACCTGCCGCGCCTGCTGGCGGGTGCAACAGCTCCCCTCCTAAGTTGTTGCCGCACACACACGATCTCTGCAGGTGGCCAGCCTTCAAAAGGCGCTGGAGCGGGCCGGCGCGCAGCGAGACGAGCTGAGCGAGCGTGCGACTGAGCTGACTGCTGAGCGCAAGCAGGCGGTGGCAGATGTGCGGCGGCTGACGCGCGATAGGGAGTACCTGAAGCACCGTGTGGACCGCATGCAGAAGGCCCTCAGCATGCTGGAGTCGGTAAGGGGTGTCGGGAGCAATGGGTTGATAGGCAGGGAGTGAACACAGGACAGAAAATTTGTCCCGCATGCTTCACGCTTGCATCTGCGCACCTGAAAAGTCTTAGTGTTTGCGTGCGGTCACTTATACATGTACCAAAGCACACCAGAAGGATGTTTACTCTTCGCCCTTACCTACGTTCGATTCAACTCTCCACTGCTCCGTGTGCCACTCACCTACCGCTGCAGGTTCTGGATGACACGCTGCGAGAGAACCAGGGCGGCATCGGCGCGGGCATGTCAGACCCCCGAGGCGCGGCGGCGGCAGCTGCGCTGCGCCAGAGCCGCGAGGCGATGTCTGAGCTGTGGAGCAAAGCCGGCGACGGCGGCGGCAATGGCAGAGCGCTGGGCAGCCTGGCCGACGAGCCAGAGGAGCTGCCACGGGGCTGTGGCATGAAGGACCAGCACAATTACGGGCTCGCAGCATACCGGAGTTGAATGCAGGCTTGAATCCAGTGGTCGCGACAATCAGGCCCCTCATGTCAGCCAAGTGTCTTGCAACATTTACCTGCACCCTTTGCATGTCTGCCCTGTGGATCGCCCCGACTTGTGCGATGCCGGTGGCGATGGGGACTGGCCGCAAAGCAGTACGGCACCAGACACCCCCCAACCGCATCAACTAGGCACCCGATGGTTGCCAGCATGCCTCAACTGTGCCAGTGTTACAATGTTTACAGCTGCACAAGCCGCAGGTTGCAAACTGGTGACGAGGTGCCCCCGGGTATTGCGCGGCAGGACATACACAGGATATCCCGGCCAAAGTCAGCAGCACCCCGCAATAAATGGCGCCGCCGGCGCCGACGACAGACCACACAACACAGTTGCACAAAGTTCACTTTCTCCTGAAGATTTCAGTATACACGCCCTCAGGTTTGCCCCCCGTTGTTTAGCCCGCCCAAGATCTCGCTCGGCGCCCTTCAAAAGCAAGTCTCGTTTCGAATCCCCCTCTGGAAATACACTACTACCTTTGGATTTCAGACTGCAGACGGGAGGGGAGGTTGGGATAGCACGAGTCTGAACAACGCCTCTTACAGCGGGCAGCACGGGGGTTCCGCGTCCCCACCCAGCGTCACGCGGAATACTTGCCAAATATGTTGCTTAATAGCTGTCAGGGTCAGGGAGCGCGGGAAGCATGGCTCCGGGGCGGTGGCGCGGACATCACCGCACGCCCTGCAAACAGGCGCTCCGTCCGCTGCGCAGCTGCGCGCCGGCAGCTGCCCCCTGAAGATGAGGCAGCGCGGCGCGGAGAGGTGGGCTATGGAAAGGCTACCGTACTGCGGGGATGTTGAGGCGCCGAGGTCTGCTGCTGCGGACCTACTGATGTGCATTGAAGCACTGGGCGAATGTCGACTCGCCGAGGCAACTCTGCATATACGAAGGAGCGTCGCCTCTCAAAACCCGCTTGCCTGCACCCCTTGCTCGCAGCAGCCGTGGTGGAGCATTGATGGCCCGCCGCTGATTCCCCCAAAGCACCGACCGCAGCAGATGCCACAGGTGGGTCCAGGACAGGCCCCGCCGCCCTGCGCGGCGCCGCGTGAGAAATCGGGCGCTCACTCGTCCCCGTCGCTGCACACCGACCAACCTTCAGGATGACTGGCGCGCTATTCGCGCCAAACTCGTGGCCATGGAGCGCTCCGGCGCCTTCAGCAGTGGCCACGCGTCGCCCGGCGCGCGGGCGCCGCACCCGCCGCGCGCCGGCGTGAGCGCGTTTTCGTCCTTGGGCTTCACCCCGTCGGCGTGGGCGCACGAGCTTGCCTCGCCAGAAGTGGGGTGCCTGCTGGTCGCGCGTCAGCCGGGAATGGACTTCTTCGACGGAACAGTCGTGTTGGTCGCCGCACACGGTGGGTTGCCCGGCATCTGAGCAGGGTGTCATCGGCGGTGCTGGTGCGCCAGACAGCAGCTGCTGCGCAGTGTATGCCTTGAAACAGGGCCCAGATCGATGTGCCAGCCTGCCGCAGTTTTGAGCCCGCTGCAGCCATAACATGTCCTCTTGGTGCGGCAGCACATGGGCCCACGGTGTCACAAGCGCTTTGGGAGCCGTGCGGTGGTTTCGACCTGGCAGCCCCCAGCCCAGCCCTGCATCACCCGCATCTCACCTCCTGCACGGCTTCCCTTCCGCAGACGACTCCCAGGGCAGCATCGGCTTCATTTTGAACCGCCCCTCTGCTCTGCGCCTGGCGGAGGTGGCTGTTTCTGCCAAGGGAGACGTTGCTGCTGTGGCGGATGTGTTTGGCGGCCAGCGGCTGCGCGTGGGCGGGCCCGTGCACCTGGACACGCTGACCGTGCTGCACGGCTACGCTGGCTGCCAGGGCGCACAAAAGGTGTCGGAGGTGAGGGGCGCTGCAGGACGCGGCGGGGGGCTGCAGCCGCCCTCATCACGCACATGGACCCTCCAGACGGCGCCTGCACCCTCCCTCAGCGAACGACGCGCATGTCTGCTCAAGTTGGCATCACGTAGCCTGAAGTTCTGGCTGGTCAACCGCTCACTCCCCTCCCTCGCCCCCCCTCCTCCTCCCCTCCCATCGCCCGTAGGGCGTGTACTTTGGTGGACTGCCCGCCGCGGCCGACATGGTGCGCAGCGGCCTGGCCAGCCCCTCTGAGTTCCGCCTACTGCTGGGCCTGGCGGGCTGGGCGCCGCAGCAGCTGTCCGACGAAATCGCGGCCGGCGTGTGGTATTGCGTGGCGGCCAGCAAGAGCCTCGTCATGGCGCCAGAGGGTGGGTTGCGGCGTTGCCCCGTGTTGCGCGGGCTAAAGTATCAGGGAGGCCTAATCCTATGTTGCGGTTTGCGGAATCCTGTGTGGTTGCTGGGAGGGTAGTCCTCACCACGGCCGCCTCTGGGCTTTGCTATGATTTCCTCAAGACCCACCCAGGAGGCCCCCCTGCATACGCTGCACTTGCACCACATCCTCATGCAGGGGCTGGCGAGGCGTTCCGGCGCCAGATAATTGGGCTGATTGGTCGGCAGCATGGCGAGCGCGCACGCCCATGAGCACCCCTGGTCCCCCTCCTCTGCGCCTGTGTGCCGCGTTTGTCGCTTCTTGCAAGTGGTAGCTTGGCACGGGTTGCCCTGGCGCATTGTTTGCCAACCCCCTGGAGACAGAGGCATAAATGTCACCATTATTAGTCGCGTGGTCAGGCCTACGCTGCGCTGTGCATTAGCGCGGCCTCGCAGCGCCATTTGAGCGCATGGCACGGCTGCCCTCCGGCCCAAATCGTCTTGATGGCATTTCGCGTGTGATTGCGTCGGTTTGTGCACACGCTGAGGCCGCAGCTTCGGCAGTGCTGTGCGCTCCCCTCCATTGGTGAGCTGAGGTGTCTTGATGGTATTTCAAAGGTGCGTTCGTCTGCCATCAGCTTGAGGGCCCATGCGAGGGCCTGCGCCTCAACACACACTGGAAAGTTGTCACTTTTTGGGGTTGGGGAGTGCACACCACACGGTATGCATACCCTCGCCCCTTACCTGGGGCGCTTTACACCCCCCGTCCAGCTTCCAGACCTCCTGCAACACCCCCCCCTCGGCGGCAACGCATGGCGGCATCTAGCCCTGTCAAGCGACACCCCGCTTCACTCCGACTGGCAGTCCACCTGGCAAAACCCCTCCACACCCTGTTCATTCATAACGCCCGTATGTAGCGCCCCTCGCTTGGCGCCGAGCGCGCTCGGTCCAGGCTGCCCTGGCGCACAGTCGCCTTTCGCGTCGTTCCCCATGCGTATGGTTGATCTTGACACATGGCTGCGTTCCTTCTAGGCCTGATGTCCAGCCGCCTGTGGTCTCTCGAGCGCTGAATGTGCCGCAGTTGTGGCCCTGATCTGCGCGCCCCAAGAGATCGACCGGAAGGATCCCGTACAACAAGCAGGAGGCACCCTCCGGTCCTGACCCGTCCCATTGCTGTGTGTGTATGTTGAGCGGAGTGTGCCCATTGACTATCCTGAGTCGAAGTTGTGCCCGATGAGTACACACCAGGCCCTGGGTGGCCAGGCGTTCACAGCCCCGCGCCATCAATCTTACATCCCGTCGTCACGGTTGCTGCGCAGCATGGTGCCTTACGCTGTGGCGCTGCCGCACGAGCTGGTCCTGCTGTGTGTGTTTGTGTGTACGTGTGATGCTCGTGCTTGTCTCGTCGCTTGCTCTTTGCTTGGCCGAGGCTGCATTTTGCCGCAGCCGGCTGGAGACTGGTGGTTTGAGGGGGCGCATACGGCGCTCAGCTGCATTTGGCGCAGAGGACTCTCGTGGGGTTGTGGGGCTGTTGTCCTGCTCTGGACTCCGCCGATGGTGCGCACTGGGGGTTGCTGGCTGAGATGCCAGCTGGCCCACCGATTCACCATCTGTCCTTCAATCCGCCAAGCGTGCTTGTCCCCCTAGTTATGGAGGCATAGACATCTGCAGCAGCCAGCACGACAGTGTATCCACCACAGACGGATGGTTGCCAATTTCATTTTGCTCCAGGAGGTGGCAAGTTCAGAAGTGCAGCCAGTTGGCTGGCACAAATCCTTGCGCGTCGCGAAGCGCGCTGTGTGAGGAGCACGGCGCGTTTCGCTTACGTGCACGTTGCTTTTGAATCATGGACTGGTGCTGCCACGGGCGCCTGTGACGCCAAGTGCTTGCCATATCAGCGGTGCCTTGCGTTGAGTGCCACACGCTGCACACAAGCTCTGTACTCTTTTCCACCTCTGCCCGCTCTCGTTCTGGTGGGTGTTGTCTCGATCCTGTCATGTCCACATGGCACATTGTGTTTCACTCCGCATGCGTGTGTAATGATCCGCACCTGTGAAGGTGGTTCATGGCTTCAACTTTTGTCAAAGCTTGTCTTTGGGCCAGACAGCAGGGAGGTGATTTGCGAGGGGGCCAGGTGCATACAGTCACGCACACTGCTTATCCATCTGGTTGCCCACATACCTGAACATGACTTGCGTGCGTACACCAAACCGCAACAAAACGCGGAGATGAGGGCCATCCGAGTGGAGAAAAACCACACAGCAGCTGTCTTGGACCTTTGCCTGTGCATCACCACCACTGCCACTCTCGCCGCCCTTCCTCCTGGGATGCCAATGGCCTGCTTGCTGGCCTCCCGGACAAATCGCAATCGATGGCGGCTGGCCGGGTGATTGTGATTAGGTTTGGGTCTGGATGATTATGTTCTGACGTCCCTTTTACTGACTGCATGTGTTGCAGTACTTGAGTGACCTGTACTAATGGGAGATTATGTTTCTCTGCGCCGTGCAGAAGCCAGCTTGTATGTGACCTTTGCGGCATTGCGTCATCAATTGTGCCTGCGCGCTGGACATCGGCTTGTTTCGCAAACTGCCTCACCTGTGGTGGTTCTATTTGTGATCATTTTAAACATCAATCGCTTGAGGCGCTGCCCACGGGCCTCTCACCTTCAGCCATCACACCCTGCGGTCAGGCCCAGTCAAACATCCTGCCCTCAAGCCCGGGGGGGGGGGGATGAGTTGCGCCGCATGTTGGCCTCAACCTGCGGCACTAGCTGAAATAGTATGATATACCCAGAAGTCACTGGTTCGATGGGGCTTTTCGTACTTTCGGTGCTCAATAGTTGTGGGTTCTTGACAAGGCATATACCGTACACCGCATCACATGCACATTGTCGCAATCCATACAGTATGTGCACGCCATGTGTATTTTGGCTCTGTTGGATTTACTCGCACGCATCGACTTGCCACAGATCTGGTACTGTAGCCTGCAACGCCACAGCGCGCGAGTATCCCTCGGCTTTTTCGCACAGGGGTTTCAGAGCCTATGCGAGATTTCAATTTGACCTGGCCGCCCAGAACGAGCACCAACTCTGATCCTGCAGCTCAACTCGTGCCCGCGACCAGCGGAGCAGCGCGCTTGCGGGGTGTTGCAGCGCACCTCGCTGTGGCTTTGCATAGCAGCGGCGCAGGCCAGTCCCTCTGCACCATCACGAATACGGTGGGAGAGGCGCTGCAATGGACAGCCTCCTGGAGCTTGATGCGGAGTTTCTCCATCCACCCTGGGGGCCCTACGGGCGCGACGTGACCCTTGGCCTGGTATCTGGCCTGGCCAAAATTCTGCTGAAGGGGCTCAATACGCTGAAGATCCTGCCGGATGACCTAGCTCGCTTCAGGCAGCTGGCTATGGAACGGGAGGCGGGTGTGGGTCTGCTGACGTATTGCAACCACACCAGGTGCGGAGTGAGTTCGCGGTGGTTGCAGGTAAACCTGATCATGTGCACATGCGTATCGCTGTGCACTTGCCTGTATCGCAGGGTTGTACAGCAGAGCAGGAAGCTTACTGACGCCTGCCAACCCACGCCTGGCCCACCTGCCGCCCGCGCGCCACCCCCCACTCCTTGCAACTACGCGTGTTCAGCACGTTTGACGATCCTGGCCTGCCCAGCGCTCTGCTGCCGTGGTGGCTGTTCTGGACTGAGCACAGCCATGGCAAGATGCGGTGGACCATGTGCGCACGGGAAGTGTGCTTCAAGAGCGAGCTGCTCAGGTGCGGCACGCACAAGTGGCACAGGTGCTTGCGGGGATTGTAGCCACGGTGGCTGGCAAGCAGCGGCTGGAGAGACTGACGGAACAACCGTGGGCGGTGCCAGATCTGGAACACACAGTCCTGCCTGGTACAGAGGTGGGCGGCAACCCCAGTGCATTGCACATCTCCAAGACGCCAGCCCTCCCTTTCCCAACATGGCCATTGCCCCCCCTCGCCCTGCCCCCGCGCTGCCTGCCAGGCAGTTTTTCCTGAACGGCAAAGCGCTGCCCGTCGAGCGTGGCAGCGGTGCCGACCAGCCCGTCATCGGTGCTTCAGCGCGGCGGCTGGGGGCGGGAGACTGGATCCACGTCTTCCCGGAGGGCCGCGTGCAGCCGGCGGGTGACGTCGGCGCGTTCCGACAGGTGCATGGTGGGCTGGGTGAAATGATACCAAGGGAGTGCTTGGGGGGTGTGGTGGAGGGGAGGGGGGTTGACATCACATGTGGCCAAAAAGCGTAGTTGGCTTCTGCTGTATTGGGAGACGTGCCTATAAAGCTCCCAAGATTGCCTGTAACCTGGGATTGCCCCGCTCTCCACCCATCCCAATTGGCAATCAAACGAAGGGCGTCGGCAAGCTGGTGTGTGACGCGCGCGAGACCTCTGGACGCGACCCCATCATTCTCCCCTACTTCCACAGGTTTGGAGAAACCGCACGCCCGTCCCTTGAAACGTGCCGCGGGAACTACGCCCTGGCCTACCCTGCCCTGCTGCATTATTGCTTGCATGCTAGCTCACCACACGCTCAACAGAACTCCCGTCTTGGAACCCCTCTCACCCCATTCCATCACTTTGTCTTGACTCCCTGACAACCAGTTGTGCCACCTGCGCCCCGCCTGTGGGCGTCATTCCCATCCACCCAGTGGCATGGCACGCATCATCCCATACCTCAGCCAGCTGCCGCGCGTGGGCCAGGAGGTCACTGTGGTGGTAGGGGAGCCGCTGGACCTAGGACACGTCACCTGCAGGCAAGCGCAGCGGCAAGGTGCTGAGGAAGGCAGCTTTGGCACATCTGCCCGACGCACGTGCGTCTTGCCGTCGAAATTGTTTCGTGTGTGGCGGAGGGCATCTGCAGTGACAGCTACCATCAACCAGCAATGTGTGTTCCACCGCGTGCTTGCTCGCCCCTCCTTTCCAGGTGCAATAAGCCTGGGGAGGACCAGCAGGAGGTGTGGAGGGACATAGCTGCGGTGCTGCGCGAGGCATTGCTGGAGCTGGAGAAGAGGGCACCACCAAACCCCAACCAGGCAAGACACTCCTCATCAAGGGGTTGCGCAAGTATGCGGCACGCACGCGAGGCTGGGGACTGGATTACTCAAGTGTTGTGGCTTGGAGCCCTTTTGATGTGGCGCTGGCGGCACTAGAGCAGTAAACGCTGCATGTGGGGTATGGTATACACCTGATACGCGTGCGTCGCTGTGCTGTACATCCACAGTTGGAAGAGCGCCCCGAGCTTCTGGCCAAAGTCGAGGCGCTTAGGCGCAAGCGCAGCAACGACGAAGGTGCGAGTAGCGCCAGCAGCAGCAGCAGCAGCAGCAGCAGCAGCAGCAGCAGCAGCAGCGGCTTGAGTGGTGGTTCCGTTGATGTGGGGCCTGGCGGGCTGAATGGCGTTCTGGGTGCCGGCTCCGTACTTCATAGTCGACAGGAGCAGGGCCAGCATAATCTCAGGGTGCACCACCAGCAGCATCAGCAGCTATATCAGCAGCAGGAGCACGAGCAGCGACAACGAATCCCATGGTGGGGGATAGCCCAGGCGCTGGATCGGCCAGAGTGGAGCCCTGACCAGGAACGCCGGCAGCTGCTGTCGGCACCAGGACTGCTGCGATGTCAGCCGGGGCTCAAGCAGCAGCAGCAGCAGCAGCACCAGCTAGAGAACCAGGAGGATGATGAGCAGCCTGTGGCAGCACCGCCGAGCGTGGCACAGGGCGACCGGCGGCCGCCTCCAAGCGAGCGCCAGGTGCGGGAGTGGTGGTGCACATGGCAGAACGCCCGGCGTGTGCACCAAGATCCTGTTGTGGCGCCCCGGGAGAGGCCGTTTTGGGCCGAAGAGGCCCGCGTTGTTGCTTGCGCAGAGATCTTTAACATGTAACCCTTTGAAGAGAGGCAACGCAATTGGGCCGTGAGGAAGCAAGCAAACAAATGTCATAATCAAAGCTCGGTCTTGCTGCTGCCACCAGCAGAGCTGCCTCTGCCACCCTCTTGCTGCTTCTGCTCGTTAGCCGCCGCCGTCGGCTCCCGCTGCTTGTTGGAGCCACCGCCACTGCCCGCTGCCGAAGACCCCGCGCTGCTGCTGTTGCCCGATGAGTTGGCAGTTGCGTTGCCTGCGGCGGTAGCGTTGCCACCAGCGAGTGCCTGCTTTGACGCCATCAGGTCCTGCAGATGGGGGCAGCAGGGACGCAGACCGGGCCAAGAGGGATTTTGCCAGGTGCATACCGGGCTATAGAAGAGTGTCACAACCCTTCAACCCTGGCAGTGATGCGCGGCATCACTGCTCCTTGCATAGAAGGCTGTGCATAACAGGGTCTCGACCGAACTGGCCCCATCCACTCAGCCCAACCCCGAACGCCCGAACCGACCACCAGCAAGGCCTTGCGCCCGCAGCACCAACCCACCAGGTACTCCATGAAGCTGCTCCCGGCCTCGCGCACACCCTTCTTCATGGAGCCTGCGTCAGGGACCTTGCGGTGAAGCGCGTACCCCCCGCCCAGCAGCAGCAGCAGTGTGATGGCTCGCCCAACGTACTGTGCCTTGGCCGGCTCAGCCTTCTCAAAGTCCAGCAGGGGGGTGAAGATCTCATTGATGGGCAGCTGCATGGGGACAAAGAGGCAAGAAGGGGAGAGTCAAGAATGGGAGCGATAAGGGGTCAAGAAGGAGCCCGTGAAAAGGGCCATACGCCCAGATTATTGCAGTGGGGGCAGCACAACACTCCACATGGGTTTTCAGGCAAGCACGTCTGCGCTTGCGTTCAAATACACACACACACACATACACACCAACTCTCTCTCTCTCTCTCACACACACACACACACATACACACACATGCATGGCATACGTGCACGCTCACTTTTTCTGACATGAGGTTGGGCATGATCCAGAGGTGGTGGCCAGTGACAACCCACACGGTGCAAAATACAGCGTAGCGCAGCGCGATCGTCCCCAGCATCAGTAACAGCACTGCCGTCAGCGCGTACAGCACCCACAGCCTGTGGAGGGGGGTCGGCACAGGTAAAAGATTGCCACATGCATGCACAACGGCTGTTGTGTGAGCCAGCTCCACGATCACAAGCGCATTTGAGGCAAAAAAAGCAGCAGGCAGGCCGCAGCCTTCGTGACTGACAGGGCCGTTGCCTTATCAATGCATACCTGACCCAGTAGGGCGCCAGGGGGAAGAGTGTGGCACCCAGCACAGCCACCACCACCAGGCCGCTGCCCACGTAGAACCAGGCCGAGGTGGGCTTGTCATAGGTCCACGCGTAAAACCCATCCTCGCGCCAGGAGTGATCCTGGGGTCCAGGACGTGAATTTAAGGGCGTATCAATGGGCTGCGTGGAGATTGAGCATGCCCTTGGTGGCTCTCAAGGCTTCATGCCCTTTGTTCCCCAGAGTGCACTTGGTGATGGTTTCAGCAGCAGCAGGTTTCCCTTTTTGTGCTCTCTGCAAGGTGTGCTGAGCATGCAAGACTGCAAGGTGTGCTGAGCATGCAAGACATGCAAAGTAAATTTCTGAAAAGAGCTTGATACATGCAATTGCAGAACGCGCAACGCACCTGAGCTGCCTCCAGGGTGCGCGGCCACTTGACCAGCTTGGTCCTGCCTGGCTTGGGCTTCTTGAACTTGCGGTCGCAGGCCATCAGCAGCTTCCGCTGCAGCAGCTGCACCACCACGTCGCCCACCAGGTCATCCACAGTGCGGTCTGCGACGCGATCAGCATGACAAATTACGGCAGGTGCGGCGAACGTAAGCAAGGCGCGTCAGCGACTTGCATCGCCACAAAACGGCAAGCTTAAATGCCGCCCGATCGAACCGCTTGGGCCACCAGCTGCAGCTTCCCAGCGCCCCTGTTGCGTTGCCGCACCCGGCAGCCTGTGCTGCCCAAGGAGCGCGAGCCCAGGCAGTACATATTCGAGGCTGGGGCGTGCCTCACCGGGCCCCGGAGGCCTGACCAGCTGCTCCATAAGATCGGGCTTGGCGCGCAGGTGGCGGGCCAGGTCCTTGCCTCGCGTGTAGTCCAGCCACGCCAACTTTCAGAGGGTGTACGAGTGCAAGGAGTGATATCAGTACAGATGAACGCCATCTGAACTGTTGTGAAGGTGCGTACGTAGGCAGCGCAGAGTTGCGGCGCATGCTTGTCCTCGCTCGAGTCACGTCTGCGGTTGGGTGGTGTAGCCTGGCGTCTGGCCACCCACCTCGCCACCAATGTCGACCTTGCCCTGGGCAGTCTCCACAGTGCCCCGCAGCGAGTCAGCCAGCTGCCGAGCGACCTGCAAACAGCGACGCAGAAGGGGTGCGGCGGGCGTAGAGATCATGCGCAAAGCGCGAACGAACAGTGCGACCAACCAGTGCGCAGCACACCCGCATGCACTGAGCTGATTCAGCCGTCAGGAGCTGGAGACACGACCGACGATTTGCACCTCACCTGTCCCTTGTCCTGCTTCCCAGCCATACCGTAGAGTGCTGGAGTGGATGCAACCGTGGTGATCTGGCTAGTTGTTGGGCTTCACACCTTCAAAAAATCTATTTTTGAGCGAGGCAGCAAATGTTGTAATGCTGTTGGGGTCTGTTCCCGTAGTCGATTTCCCGTATGTGCGCAAATGGGCAGTATTCCTTCTTTAGCCCCTCACTACCATTACTGTCCTCGAGGATTCTATTGTCCTGGAGGCGTCTCCTCCAAGATTTTTGACAAGTGAGGCGTGGCGTCTGTGGGGACAGTTCCCCGCCCCCCACCTGCATGAATCAATGAACTCCATACACAGGTGCGCAGTCCATTGGACTGGACGGTTGCATGCATCGAGGCAAGCTGATCGTTTGAAACCGACTGGCTGACTGTGTATCCAGCAGCACGTGGCTTTGACGCCTGACATGTCACAGGTTGTGTGTTGGTGCGGTGAACACCGCACCATCAAGGCCAACAGATGTGGGATCCACAACGGCATCGCCCATGCTTGCAGATGCGGATTGCGCATGGTCAGCAGGGTTCTGTGCAGGCCTGACTATATTAGGCAGGGAAGCCTTGAACCTGTGCTTGACCTGCACCCCTCACCCTTTCAGTGGTGCCGTCCACCCGCAAGAAACAAAGTGGCGGTCAAGCGCAGCAAGCGGCAGATGGGTCGGCAGCGTGTTGTGTTGGCAATAATGTTTCTTTTGCGCGACTGAGATGTGGGATATATCATGGTTTGCTGCATCATAGGACCGCAGTGAGCAGGAAGGGGGTGCATATTGTAAAACCTCAAAGTGTTGTGCACACCTTCCCATACATTGCGCAGCATGGCAAACCTAAATGCACCGGTCTCTAAAGGGCCGAAAGGTCACGCAAGTTGACGGCCAGTACTGCCTTGTCAGCCCTCCATCGCATCGACAAGCGGCAGGCCGACAGAAAAACACCACGGCGCCAGTGCCAGCCCGCACACCTGGGTCATTTGCCAGGGGCGTCCCCTCTTAACAAGCACGAGGCCCGTGCCCAGATTCAGGGCCAGCATGACGCCTGTGATTGGCTTTGTGAAACACATCCTGTTGGTGGTCTCGACCCTCCGGTGCCGCCACACACAACGCTTGCGTCTCCCCAAAACAAAACGGTCACAGACCGGCTGCGGCCGGGGGGCCGGGCGGCGCCGGGGGGCGGGCGCGCGCGAAGTCAACAAAAATCCCTATATGGTAACAACTATACTGTAGAGTCTTTTGAGCTGGAAACACATGCGCCTGCAAATCAGGAGATGGCACAATACGCTATTTTATAGTGTCTTCTCTCGGCACCTCAGCGTTTTCGCAAGAGGTCAAAGCATACACCAATGAACCAAGCGGTAGCGCAGCTGCAGCTGCTGGGCGGTCAGTAGGTTCAAAGGTGGAGGTCCAGCCCCCGGTCTGTCTGGATGGCCTGCCAGGTGTATTGAATTCCAAAACTCTCTTTGATATCGTTGAGGCCGCAACCTCTTCCAGCGTGATTCGCAAGCTCCGCTCCTTTCCGCAGCAGTCGTGCACCAGGCTGCGCGCTGAAACGCGTACGATCCTCTCGATTGTTGTTGAGAGGCCGTGCTCCGGGAAGTATGCAGCACGGCGCGTTCAGTCGCTTCAAGTCTTTTCAAGAGGATCAGGAGCCACAGGATGAGTCGCAGACAGCGTTTCTTCTGGAAAGGAAGATGAAGATTGCGCCGGCAAGGTGAGGGCAGAAGCATCTCCGCCTGCGTGGCCCAGCCGCTGGTCAACATCACCCCCGCTCTGATCTGCCTCGGTGGCGTCGCTGCTGTGAACCCGCGCAGCGACGATTTGCCCAGCGGCAAGGCGCCAAGCGCCAGGCCTGCTGTGGGCACCAGCAGTCAAAAGACGGTGAGGTTTGCTGGGGCTGCAAATGATTGGGTGGCTGCATGGAAAGGGGCCAAGGGAAACCACGTCAGCAAGAAGCATCAGCATTCCTTTCACAGCACCTGTGCAAGTGAGACAGCGGCACGAGTAGCAGTGGCACCGGATGCAGCAGCAGCAGTAGCAGCAGCGGCAGCGGCAGCGGCAGCGGCAGGCCACCTGCTTGGCACACTAGTGGCGTTTGGGCCCCACTGATTACGTATCCATCGTGCGTGTGCACGATGCAGACTCACCAGGCGGCGAATTCGCAGCGCAAGATCCCGGACTACATCATGCTGCCAGACGGCCAGGCCCGCAGCGTGTGAGTGCAGGGGGCAGGGTGCAATGCAGCCTCGCTGTATTGATGACGCTGGCTGTCATAACCGGGTCGTTGATGTGGCGAGCAGCATGTCGAGGGGGGGCGGGCGATGGCACGTACTGGAATGGGTGCAGGCTGCAGCAGGCGGAGCCGCAGTGTTAGACAGGCCAATCATTTCACACTGCCCAACTTTTGATGCATCTGCACCCGGCACAGGTGGATGCAGCTGCAGCTGGCAGTTGCAATGTACATCATCTGGGTGACCCCGCTGCGAGTGGTGAGCGACAAGAAGATGGGACCATCCTATTGCTTCGGGGCCCGGCTGTGGTGCAGGCATGCACACGGCACCCAAGCGGGGTCCCAGCAGCCATACAGCGCAGCTATCGATGCACTGCGGCTGCTGACCACCTTATCGTGCACACGCCATTATTGACAGGGCTTCAACATGCCAGCAGAGGGAGTCTGGTTCTGGGTGGAGGGCATGATCGACGCATTCTTCTACATTGACCTCGTTCTGAACTTCTTTGTTGCTTACGAGGTGCGCGGCCAGAGAGGGTGGGGTGCTCATGTTCTCAGAAGTGGTGCAACCAAACACACGCAATTGTTGCAAGGCCCACAGTATGGGTGCGGCTCCCTCACAGTGCACCATCCATCGCGCCTTGTCGCCCCGGTGCAGGATCCAGTCACTGGTGACATTATTGCAGATCAACGGAAGATTGCTGTCCGCTACCTGAAGGTCAGTCTGCAACCAGCGTGGGGATAAGCAGGGTCCCTTGAACGCAATACAAGTCGTCAGCAACGACATGCAAGGGCACTCGCCGGTTGCACAGCTGGCAGAAATATGTTGCCAGCGCATTCCTTGCAGCACCAGCCCGCAGCTGCGAGTCACAGGTGTTCCGCAGCTCGTATTGTTAAGCATGTTGTGCGTGCTGGTTTGCTGACTTCAATACTCGCTGCCACAGTGCCAGTGCAAATAAGGCCTCCTAGATTGTGCCACCTGCCGTCGCGCTTTGCATACTTCGTCACAGGGGTGGTTTGCCATTGACCTGCTGGCAACATTTCCTGTGGACTATATCGTGCGCGCGGTGGAAGGGACCTGGATGTGCTCCCTGCGAGGCAGCTGCCTGTGGTCTGCAACGGCCGTGCCAGATGGCATCAGCGCCATCCGCTTACTGCGGGTCGTACGCATCTTCAGGTCGGTGAGAAAGCGTTCTCAGGCTCAAGGGTGCACTTGGTCCGCGAGTTTAGCACGTGCTAGATTGCTCTGCACAGGAAAGTCAAATACTGACCCAGCTCTCCCCCAATTGCTTGTCTTGTCCCCTTTGCACTGGCCCCGTTCCAGGATCATATGGATCTTGAAGCACTTCAAAGTCATGCGCTTCTCAACACTGCTTGGCGGCCTCGCGGTAAGCGTTTGATTCCGAGAAGGATGTTGTCCCCAATGATAAGCAATGCCCAATGATCTCAATTCAAGCTGCTGTGTGCTCACCAATCTCCACTCACTTGGCCTCCCTACTTGGTCTCTCGAAGGACGAGCTGTACACCATCATGCCATTGTTCAGCATCCTGGAGCTGCTGGTGGTCCTGCTGTACCTTGGACACTTCTCAGGCTGCTTTTTCTACTTGCTGTCCACACCGCCTTACCAGACAGCGGGTGAGAAACACCGCAGGCGCTCTGCTCATTTTGCGGCAGGCATCAGACTGAGGCTTCTCCATTCTGTTGGTGAACTGGGTATGCCAGGAGGAAGGCAATGCAGCTTCTGCTGTTCTCAACCGCAACATGCATTCAGACCATGTGCTACCCTGCTGAAAATCCACTGAGCAGTTGAGAAGCGGTTGATTGAGGAGGGCGAAATGGAGACATGGATGATGACCTCTTTCGGGGGCGACCGCCTTGTCCAGGTGCCTGTTGCATACCACGGCAATCTTACGGGCATCGCAGCCAGCCTGTCACATCTCGGCCAGGACCCCACCACCAAACAGTGAGCTCTTGTTTGATGCTTCGCGTTGCTGGTGGTGACGTGCTAGCAATTGTTGTCTCGACAGAGAAGTTTTCCTCAATTTGCCAAATGTACGCTGCTTGCTGGCCCACTGCTCTTTTCCTGCTTGCTGGCGTGTGCTCATCTCAATCGCCTTCTCTGCAGGTGGTACCAGTGCCCCGACTTTGGGTACGACTTCAAACCCTGCATCAGCTGCGACGGGCCCAAGGCGCGCTGCGTCTCGCACTACTCACTGCCCTACAGGTATGGAACCAGTGGGATACACGGGCATGGCTTTTTACTCACCCCTGGAAACTCAAATATAGATCTACCACTGCGTTTCTTGGTGCAAGCATGGGTGGACACGAAACACCTTCTGTGCGCAACCACATGCCAAAGCCAGATCAGCCCGAACCACAACAGATTGAGCCCACCGTCCTGACTCAACCTTCCCATGCACTGTCCCGATTTCCTTCTCACCTGCGTTCTTCCCATCAATCCCACTCCTCAGATACATTACCTCAATGTACTGGGCTTACACCACCATGACTACAGTGGGCTACGGGGACATCAGCAGCAAGACCGTTGCAGAAAAGGTGAGGGATGCAGATCAATTTTGCAGCGGGGAATGGTCAACATCCAGTGGCACGGGGTTCTACTGTGGGTGATTGGGCGCAGGCTTCACCATTGGGGAGCAACCACACGGGCCGAACCAGCTCATGAGCGGGACTAATGCTGCTCGTTGATCCAACTGCTTGCTGTGTTCGACTCAAATCAGGTCTGGGCGATCCTCACGATGATAGGCAGCGGCTTCTTCTTCTCCTTTGTGGTGGGCCGCATGGCGTCTGTCATCTCCAAGCTGGACAGCGTGCGCAACGCACACAGCGAGCGGTTGGAGACCGTCACCACCTTCCTCAAGGACGTGGACTTGCCCAGGCCGCTTAGCAAGAAGTGAGGCGGCGGATGCATGACGGTGCATTCTCAGGACGGCTGGCCATGGCTGATCAGCTGGGTCCGGCTTGCTCTGCTGAAATTGATTGTATGGCGTTCAAGCCGCGCCCACAACCCGGACCAAAATCTCTCTCTCTCTGATGACCCGTCCTTGTTGACCATTCAGGGTGCTGGACTTTTTTAGGAAGCAGCAGGTCAAACCTTATGACCGGCAGCAGGTGTGCAGGGCCTGTTCGGGGCGCGGCATCATGAGCCAGCAGCCGACCTAATATCTCTGCTTGCAGCTGCTGGAGTCCGGCGCTGCAATTGGGCTACGCCCACATTCGCGCGCTTCGCTCCTGATTGCCAACGACCTTGCTCCTTGTGCGCCACAGGTTCTGGCAACGCTTCCTTTCGAGCTGCGCTCGAAAATCCTGCGCCACCTGTACGCGGGTATTATTGGGCGTGTGCCGCTGCTGCAGGCCATGATGCATGACGAGATGTTTCTCACTGATGTGTGTGTCAGGCTGCAGCACTACACCTGCTCGCGTGACTCCTTTGTTTATCAGAGGGGTGAGTGGCATACTGCATGTGTCTGAATGCTCGGCCTGCTTTGTTTTGGTTGCATTTATATGATTGCAAACATATTCAGGTTACCTATATCCGTTGTCCATGCACTAATTCCCCTGTTATTTCCATGTAGTTTGAATCCTGGCTGATCCACATTTGTGCCCTTGCTTGCGCCCCATGCCTTCTCATCTCCTGCCGTGCTCCATCACACAGTCTCGCCACCCCGCTCCAGCGCCCTTGTCTGCCCCCCCCCCCCCCACACACACACACAAACCAGGCGAGGTGGGAGGTGACCTGTTTATCCTCGTGCGTGGTGAGCTCAACGTGCTGGACACTGACCAAGAGTCCTTCCTCTTCAAAATTCCAGAAGGCACCGTGTTTGGGGAGTCCACCATCCTTCGCCACATTGAGGTGAGCACATGTTGTCAGATTTGTGTGGGATTAGACATGCAAAATTTTTGCCGAATCACCTCGTTCCCCAATAACTGCTGTTCAAAAGCTCATCATGCTAAAACATGTTGGTTGTCACGATCACCACTCACCCGATCTTCTTCTGTTTGCAGGGGTTCACACGAGCCAAGCGCGCCGACAATGTTTGGTGTGCCACCCCTTGCACCATGCTGCGAATTGCCCAGGTGTGTTCCAGTCAAGTGGTAGGGTTTGCAACCGTTTGCCACCATTGTACGCCAAGCACTGTTGCAGAATTCGAAGAACATTCCAGTGCGTTGCAGGGGCCTCGGCTTTATTCACCTCCCTGATACCCCTCACCATGCCCTGACCCACACTTCCGCACTCCCCTCGTCTGCAACCCCTCCAGGAGGACATGGCAGATCTGCTTGACCATTACCCCGAGCTCCTGGAGACACTCAGGAAGCTCAACAGGGCCCGCAACTTCAAGTGAGCTGATTCAACATGAGACCATGCTTCAAAATGCCAGCCACATTCAGGACTATTCAACCGTGCGCACACAAAGCGGCCTGCACACAAAGCGGCCTGCCCACCACCCATTGCATGCATGCAGATTTGCACGCCTGTATGCATGCGTACATAGACTCACGTGCACATACGCGCAAAGTGCGTGCGCATGCATATGCGTGCACGCCAACACAAGAACACACACACAGGTACGTGCATGTAAACACCAATGCCCACGAGGGCATGCGCGCACACACACACAAACACACACACACACACACACACACACACACACACGCACGCACACGGGCTTGCCCACGCGCACGCAAATGCATTGCGTTGCTCGATATATGCATATACATACATGCGTCTGTACACACACCCACGCGCGCACTGACAGCACGCGCAGGCACAAGCATGCGCATGAATCGCACAGTTGTATATGCGCACACGTGTCAATGCGCATGCACGCAATTGCACGCATGCGTGCGCGCACACGCGCGCGCGCGCATGCAAGCATGAAAGCACGCACGCGCGCGCGCGCACACGCACACACACACACTCTCTCTCTCTCTCTCTCTTTTGCTCACTGGTGTGCGCTCCATGCTGCTGCCTTGTAACCTGTCCAACACTCCCTGCTGCCTCATAGGCACCATTTGTTGAAGAGCACAATCAAGGCGGTGCGACCGTCCGAGGAGGCCGATGACAAGGCCGTAGCAGCGGCTGGCGGAGTGTTGGGGGCACGGGACATGCTCTCACGCGTCTCCAGTGGCTTTTCTAAAGGCCAGTCGGGGCTGCAGGCCAGATATGGTGTTGCAAAGGTACGTGGCCAGTGATCTGTACCATCTACATGCGTGGAGATGTTTGGTTTGATGGCTGCACAGAGTAAGGGGTCAGCTCGCACGTGCCCGTTGTGATGAGTCCAGCTCATGGATCATGATCGCATTCAAAGTTCGCATTCAAAATTCTGATTGCATGCACTTTTAATCCCCCTTCCATAAATCCTACCAGGACTTGCCCCTGCTCATTGATGTCAACGAGGCTTTCACTCCCCGTTCGAACGACCCGGAGAAAGTCCTGGACGACAGCGACGACAGCCCCCACCACCCATTTCAGAGAGAGCGGCCCGTGGTGCAGCAACCCGCCGGGAGCCGAGCGGACGGGCAGCAGTCGCGGCAGGCTTCGGTGCTGGAGGCAGCCAGGAACAGCCTCCGTGCGCGTGTTCGCAGCGTTCCCAACATGGCCCAAGTACTCAGGTCTGACGAAGCAACACATGTATCAGCTGGATGCACGACCAGCGCCAGCGGCAGCAGCAGCGGTGGTGACAACAGCGGTGGAAACCAACAAGCGCACACAAGCATGCGGCTTCAGGCAGCACGGTCGCTTGCTGGGCTTGACCGCACAACCAGCGCCGAACCCGCGGTTTGTGCCACTGGCGGTGCAGAAGCCTCGCTCCAAGAGGAGACCCTGGCAGATGGGGCAGTGACTTGTGACCTGGCACAGCAGTTACACAGTCTTCAGGGACTACGTGAGCAGGTAACCCAGCAATTTCAGACGATGGCAGACGAGCTGAGCATGCAGCGGTACATAATTCACCAGGTTGGTAACAAGGACAATCTGCTGGTACACCAGTGCAGTGTAAATGAGTGGTGGGATTGCTGTGCAGTAGGGCTTTGTCATGTTGCCCTTAGGTGCGTTCTTGCATTCCGTGATCGCACACTCAGTCACCCCACCCTGTCTACGGGTACTTGCAAATGACGCCGCCGCAGGTCCCAGGTCGCATCATGAACCACCTGGTGATGGTGCTTGGCACGCCAACAGAGGAGCAGCGGCGCATGCTTGAGCAGTCCACAGAAGTGTGGAATGCCAAGCATCGGTGAAAAAATCAGGATCCGCTGTGCATGCAAGAGTTCTGAACGTATGCACACACGTTTTTGAACATCAGCATTTTGACCTGCTCCTGTCAGACTAATTGTTTGGTGTTGAAAATTGGATTGTTCATAGGTTACAAGGACCCAACAACTAGCACCTGAAAGTTGGTGCAAGGTGGCAACTTGTCCTTCAGGCTGCATTGTTGCGGGTCGGAAGCCTGGTTGCTTTGGCCGGCACCAAAGCACAAACAGCAAGCAAAGCCTTGCCCAGCTACACACGGTCAAGTTGCGGTTGGCATGGAGCTGCAGCGCGCCAAGGTGCTCTCTCATTGCATGCACTTGTTACAACCCTTTGACTCAGGTGACTATTATAGTCACATCGTGCAAGGATCTAGCAGACACACAGACACCAGGCAGAGTTGCAGCCGCGGGAAACCCCGAGAAACTGCAAGGTGTCCAGGATTAGGATTAGGATTGTTACAGCGTCCCGCGGTCGCCCGCTCCTGGAGCCATCCAGGCTCATGGGATTGTACAGTAAAGCACCAGCGTTGTGTGACTGAGAGTCAGGTGGCTACCGTGCCAGGGTGCCCGGCCGGTGTGTGGGGCTGGCCGAGGCAGTGCGGCCGGCGCTGCAGTGGCTGGGGCGCTTTTTTTATACTTGAGATATAACACGAGAGATTGACGACCCCTGCACAGCTGCGGCTGCCCGAGCCCGCCCCAGATGCGGCGTCGCCGCCAGCGCGTGGTGGGACCACAAGCTGGCAGCCGGAGCGAGGCCCTCAGCCCCTCAAGGACTTACGAGGAAACCCCGCCCCCGCTGGGGGGCCGTACACCGGGCGCAAAACACCGCGCAATGCCACCTGACAGCGAGTAGTGATCATTGCGGGACCGTAAGCAAGGCTGCGGCTGCGGGGAAAACCCGGGGAAACCGCTGGGCCCGAA